CACGATCGGGTCACGGGGACTTCGAGCAATATCACCGACGTTTCAACCACGACGACGCTCTAATGATGTGCTCTTGTGGAGAGGCGAAAGACGTGGACCACCTGGTCTACTGTCGACTAACGCTGGCGAGGAGGCAACGGTGGCCGACCCTCCACTCTCGCAGTATGCCCGAGCCCATAGGTCCTATGGGATCTCTCGAGGCCTACTTCAAGAGATTAATCACCGACCCACGAGGCTTCGAGGCCTTTCTCCGCGTGACGGACTTCTTCCAGAAGATCTGTCTGCGGTAGCAGCATCCACACCTAGGTAGATGTGAGTGCGGACTACAAAGAACCTCCCGATTCCAAGGGACGATTTGGGAAAGAATGAAACTGGGGCACCAGCGGGAACCGGGGACAGACAGAACGCGTAGTGGCCACAAGGCATGATTTGGAGGACGATGTAAAGAGACGACGTACTGTAGAGTAGGTAGCCTTGGCTCACGGCCCTCCACGCCATATACCCTTCGGGAGGTCTGCGGTAAGGGCTCTAGCCCGGCCGCCACGGCGTTAAATACAACAACAACAACAACAACAATTACAGGAGCAGCTAAGCGCTGCTGAAGTCCGAAAGTTAAACGAGCTGTTGATGTGGGTCATTTATGTCCACTCGTACTTCGATGTTCAAGCCCTGGAGGCGGCATTGGTGAGCAAGTGGTCGAAAACATAGGATATTTCAAGCGGAACTGACAAATGATCCATATTAGTTCTTGGGTGGCAAGAAGAAATCGATGCTGCGACTGAGCAAAAAGCTCAAAGGGAAGTATGCCCCTCTCATCAAGCTAGATGACGGGTTCGCCAAGATGGATGAAAACATGGTCAAGGCGGTCTCGAAACCAAAAACAGCTCCGGGGCGCAAAGATGACCCTCAAATGCTTAGTGCTACTATCACCAAAAGCAAGGGCGAACTGCATAGGGTGCACAATTTTCTTTGGACTCTGTCAGAAAAGATCCGCCAGGAAAGCCTCATTTTCCAGCAACTTACATTAAGGGCGCCATCAAAGCCAACTTCCTCGATAGCCATATGGCAATCGTTCGATGTACTTTCAATCTATCGTAGGGTATATATGGCGTCAATTGCTGCCCGCAATTAACGGCGTCGTTTTTGCGACACAATCTTTTGGCAAATGAGCCCAGTGAACGTACCAAGGCAATCGCTTCATACCTGCTGCGTTGCCTATCAAGGCATCTGGAAGCACTCGAACAGTGCAATGGAACTGATGTCTTGACCAACGATGAAAAATCGGAGATAGATTCAAGCCTTTATGACATGCTTTTCTCCAATGTCATTGAAAAGCACTGGAAAAGCTGCGAATATGCTAAATGGTACGGCGAGGCCAAGGATGTCATGGTTTTCAGACGCTGGCTAGGCGACCGTGAATAGGGGTATGCCCCCCCCCCAGGGGGATTCCAGATGGCACGCTCAATCTGAAAGGTGTATACTGATACTATGTGTATACCTTGCTGGTTAGCAACCTTTCTCCTTGAATCACACTTTTCTCCTTCTTCCGCCTTTTCCCTCTCTCCTTTCTTGTGACTGCCTCTTTTCCTGTTTTGTCTCCCCTCTCTTATTCACTCTTCCCTATTCTGGTGCCTGCAACCTCTCGTTACATACACCCACACACACATAGCACAACACAGCACTGGTGCGTGGGCTTTGGACCATGGAGTCAATCCAACACAAAAGTGGCGCAGTGTTATTCGACTTGGATAACACACTTTTTGATCACTACCATTCCCTGAGATCCGCTATCGCGTCCATCCAGGCAAGCTACGACAGTCTCGAAACGCAAAATCCCCAAGACCTTATTTCCAAGTACAACAAGTCACTTCAGAAGGCCTACGACGAGTATCTCCGGAACGGAATCACTTACGAAGAGGCAGACTTTAAGAAGGTTCGCTTGTTTTTCGGTGAGATTGGGCTCCCACAGCCAGATCACAAGCAGATCATTGAGTTCCGGAATATCTACAAACCAGCATACCGGAATCATCGAAGGGCGACGCCGGATAGTGTTGAGATACTGATACGCCTACGCGAGAATGGCTTCCGACTTGCGATTGTTACTAATGGTCAACTCAAGGATCAGTTGGAGAAGGCGGAAGCCATCGGAGTGCATCACCTTGTCGACAAGATCATCACCTCAGAAGAAGCAGGTTGTTGCAAACCCGACACCAAACTATTCCGTCTGGCAATTGAGAGCTTGGGGGCGTCGGCTCAGAAAAGCTACATGATAGGTGATTCTGTGGACTCCGACATCAAGGGCGGCCTTGAAAGTGGACTCAACGCCATCTTATATTCGCCCATTGCCACAGACTCCACGCGCGAATTATTTGGGACAGCTGTGCCAGTCATCCGCAGCATGTCTCAGCTCCCGGAACATCTCAATCTCAGCCTCCCACGGTTCGCCCCACGTATCTACTCGCAGCATTCCCAGGTTATCGCAGAAGGAATCGGGATGGATGTGGTCACTGAGCCACGCCACTATCTCTGGTTAACGAAAGACACTGTGAATGGCCTTTCGAGGCAAATGGCCGGTGTCTTTGAAGACATTTCCAAGGAGAACTACGTCTCTGCCATCTCCCGGCTTGAAGCGATGATCAAAAAAGTCGCGAAAGCTGCCTCGCCGATCGACGAGACTGCCATTCAGATCTCATACCCCGGCCAGGACCACCAACCACGCGAATCGAGCACCGATTTCCCAGTTCATATCACGGAGAGACTGCATAGTGTCCGTGTCGACTACGAAAAGTACGTTTTCGCATCCGAACTGACGATTGAAGCTCACTTACGAGAGTGCATTGAACTACTTCAAAGCTACTGCGACAACCTCATGCAAGACCACCCAAGAGCAGCACTGCGCAACCTTCGGTCCGTGATGTTGATACTGGCTAAGGTTGCTGGAATACAGACTTTTATAGTCGTTGAGGGCGAAGGACTTGGTCTCGACGGGATTTGAGGAACCAGACTGTTTTTGGTAGTGGCTCGAAGAGGTCGAGAATGATAGCAACCCAAACCAGGTTTTACTGGCACGAATCATGAAGACGATCGCGCGGAGGTGGCTGCGAAATGGAGAATGGGAGGCTTCCAGGCCTTTCGAATGGATTAAAGGCCATCTTGCCATGGTCAGCTTTCTATCTCTGCCCATCCCCCCCCCCCCCGTCCCCCCGCCCCTCCGCCATGCCTGGGATATCGGGACATTACTAACTAAATCCAGCACCCGGTGCCATTGGAACAGCAACAAGTCCCAGAAGAGACTCCTCCCGATGAGGTTTCGTCGATCGAAACCGTCGAAGCTTGGTGTACAGAGGTTCTCAAAGATAGTACCAAAGACGCCCTCAGGCATCAACGCCTGGGAGAAACACTCAGGTCGCTTGACCGCAATGAGAACGGAGTGAAAGCTTTCAACAAATCTCTTGAGCTTGGTGGATCGCAAAAGTCATGTCTGGAGGGACTAGCGCATTGCTTTGCCAACATGAAGCCAGAAAAGCTGGAGTCATGCCGACAGTTGGAGAAAGTATTGCTTATCATGGAGGGCGAGGACAACCCAGACCAGGCCGAAATAATATCGACCTATCTCAAACTTGCAGAGTGGTACAACAACCTCAAAGACCACAAGAAGGTTACGGAGTACACCACCAAGGCCTCGGAATGAGCACCCGAAAGCCCTGACTCGCAGTTGGAGGCTCTTAAAACCGTTTGGAATGCGAGAGCTCCGAGCAGGTCACACAACTATTGCGCCGTTTACTTGACATGAACAGGAACCAAGGATCATCATCAATGATCCAACGAGTTCTTGCTCGAATGTCCACAGGAGATTACAACATACCGCTGGAGCAAGCCTTCCTTCGATGTTTCAGACTGTTAGCACGAAACACGGACGTCCTGCACCGCTTTCTTGATGCCATGAAAGAGGGTTTGGAAAATGCGGAGACGCAGATCCACGAGGTGGTGCTTTTGCTGTACAAAGGTATTTGGCTGTACTACTTTAGTGACCAAAAAGAGGAGGCTCGACTCGCATGGGTTCGATGCTTGGAAAAGAGCATAGAGTCAGACAGTACTTCAGAACGGAACCTAGCTGCCACACTGCTGAGCGCTGACCGTCTCGAGGTTTTGGCGGCTACTCCGGAGGCGGAACATCCCCGCCTTGTCGAACGCATGAAATGGTTCGCCGATATACAGGGCTCCCTCGGCTTTACGTCCTCAAGCTCGCACCTTGCTTCGTACTACATGCTCCAAAAAGACCATCTCGCCGCTCGAAGCGTCCTCCAGGCCAGACTAGAGTCAGCCTTCGAACAATTGTCGGACGAATATGAGTTCAACGACAGTAGTGCTTATTACGACTTGGGTTGCACCTTGGCCCAACTTGGTGACAAGGCCAATGCCTTGGCCGCGTTCTCTCTTCGACTTCCCTGAGCTTCAGGGTTCGATTTCGTTGAATACCTTCTTGACTTTGAGGACGACGAATCAAAGGCTGTGAGAGCAGAGCTCTTGGCTAAACTGCAAGGAAATCGACAGCCTTCCGCCTACTTGCAGATCATGATGGCCCTGAGGACACTGGGAGAGATCCAGCCAAAGCTAAAGAAGGCGCAGACAAAGCACCAATATCCATTACAGTAGGATACGAGAGACACTGCTGAAGTGGACTGATGTTGTCTACGTATCGGGCGGAACCTGGTCGACTTCCTCAGGCCATTCAGCGGTCGCGTTATCAAAGGGGGTATCGTCGATGCTGATGGCTTCCGCTTAGGTGGAGAAGAAGTTCCCTCCCAGGTATGGCTTGATGGTCTCAAGAAAGATTGGGGATTCGCGGGCAACAGGCTGAAAGAGGTGCCGATTAATGGAGAGACGGTAACAAACAGAGCAGCTACTATCAGCGAGGTGAATTAATAACACGTGCTATGGTACTTTCTTCGTGTTGAAAGGGATTTCCTTTCTTCTTGGTTGTGGTGTACTATTTTGCACACATGAAATGCCACAAGTTGATGCTGAACTCCAGTTTGGATTGCACAGCGTCTGGGTATCATGAAGTTTCTTGTCTGACGAGAGTTATATGGTAGTATTTGTTCCATCTTCAAGTCTCCCATCCTTTCGACTTTCTACTTCAAGCTACTACATGAAAATTGATCAAATTTGTCGACGGCGGGTCTTGGCGCGGCACCCCCTTGTTATGAGTGCACCTGTCTGAGCTTTGTTTTCCAAGTTACAGTAGTAAACCAGCCTGTTACTGTACATAGTAGGCCGCCAAACTCACATGTGAATTGGTTTCTTTTGGCTTGATATCTTTGAACTGAGGGCATGCGTAGAAGGCGAGAAAGGCGTTGTTCGAGTGCTTTTCAAGATTACCAAGATGATCACAACTTTCAGCGGCATATAAGACTGCAGGCAATAATCAATCTGGTTAAATTTTCATCCTACATGAGTTGCAAGAGCGAGAAGTAGGCTATGGCTACACGCCGCGGGTGCCATCAAATGGTGACGTCAAAGCAGCCATGACGTCTTTGGTTTCGCGCGCTGTTGTCTCACAAGGCCTCACACCGGTATTTGCAGAGTATCCACGGCATCCTCGTCTCAAACATAATTCTACAATCCATTTAAACACAACAATATCTTTATGAACACTTAAGCGAGGTGGTATATCATCACGAAGGCTCCGTCGTAGGGTTGTCTGCTTCTGCAAACCCGTTCCGCGTTCTCGTTGGCGGTTGCCACACAGCGTTTAACGTCTTGGCGGCATCATCACAACCACAGAAATGGAATTCCACAATAAGCCACAAACTGGAGAATCATTCGTATACCATGAGCGAAACGATCGGTCCTTATTGATGCTATATCTACAAGTCGTCATCAAGTCCTTCAGGCCTAGGCTGGCATCCCCGTCCAAGCTGCCGCCCAACGCAGAGCGCTTGACACCACCCAAGAACGCACGAAAATGCCATATAGAAGAGAGGGTATTGGAAGAGCTATGGCTCTATGACATAACACGAGAATCAGATGGCAGCTATGACAGAGAACCAGGTCCGCCGCGTCGACGACGAATTCTATACTTTGCCGGGGGAGGTTGGCAGATGCCACCGAGCAAGAATCATTGGACTTTTTGCATGGAACTCGTCCGACGGCTCGACAACACAGCAGTCACGATCATCTCCGTACCTCTCGCACCGAAACACCCTGTCTCAGTTGCATTCCCTCGTATTCAAAGAGCGTACAGTTCCCTTCTAAACGAATCACATGACGCCGGCGAAAGGGTTATTGTTGCCGGAGATAGTTCAGGCGGTAATATTGCACTAAGTCTCGTAGCTTGGACTTTGAAGCACCCAAAGAGTGAGGTTCTGAACCCACCTGTTGCTGTCATGGCTATCAGCCCTACGGTAGACCTTCGTCATGAACTCCCACAGATCAGAGTGGTGGAGAAATCCGATGCACTTCACACATTCGAATCCATCAAAGCCACTGCTGAGGCATGGTGTCCCGAGGAGGCGACTACAGAATCAAGTAAAATTTCGCAACAAAATCGAGGGGACAGTCATGGATGCTCCGACTGGGGCCTGGATGATCCCAGAGTGTCTCCCATTCACGCCGATCTTGGGGTCTTTGTACAACACAACGTTCACATTTATGGAGTAACAGGGTCATATGACGTGTTAGCACCTGAGGCTGTTGCTTTCCGAAATAAGTGCAGGGAGCATGGAGTCTCTGGAGAGTGGCTATCGTGGGAAAGACAGATGCATTGCTTCCCACTGATGTTCAAATATGGGCTCAAAGAGGGTAAGGAAGGCACGGATTGGATCATTCGTGTTCTCGATAAGCACCCATGAGATTTGGGCCGCAAGACACCATAGCATCGATAAAAGCTGAGTTGCAGGGATTCTAACACATCATGAGCGAGAGACCAACCCAACCAATTCTATGTACCACGATAAGATTTTGAATGAGGAAGTGCTCTCATCCAATCTATTCTTATACAAGGCACAAGCTGCATCATGTCAAGCTACAATGCACTGGCAGTATCTTCTATGAGGGGAATCTTTCCTGGTTTACTTTATGCACCCTCTTCGTGTTGAGTTGCCGTTCCGTTCTTGGCGTCCCTTTCGAATGGAACATCAGTGACCCTTGCCGCTTCACCGTCGAAGATGACCGCCATTTCTTCCAACGTATGACCTCGGGTCTCTGGGTAGAAGAAGTAAATGATAATCGACCCAGCCAAGAGGATCACAACAAATACAATGTAATACTTCCAACCAATAGCTTCAAGTGCGATAGGATTGACAAAAACGTTGAAGAAGATGCCCAAGTACGTGGTCATTTGCGTCAGAGCTGTTCCCCGGGCACGAAGTTCGTATGGCCAGATCTCGGCTGGGTATGATACAAGTAAGGGAGTGCTGCTCGTGGTGTGATTAGCAGGTCGCACACTTTCGTTGTATTATGTCGTCTACTCACAAGGCAATATCGTAGAACCCGTAGAATATGAATAACACCGGGACCACTGCCACACCGACTGATGGCGCCCCAGTAGCATCAAAGCTACCAGACAGACCAGTAATGACGACGAAACTGAGAAACATCCCACCACAACTGACGAGGAATAGCAGACGACGGCCTAGCCGGTCAACGGAGAGAGCAGCTGATACAGCCAGGACGAGGTTCCAGATTTGCAGACAGCCGTTGATGAGTGTTTGATCTGTGACAGAAGTGATACCGATGGTATCAAGGACCGCCCCGAGGTAGTACGATACGATGTTTTGCCCAGCCCACTGCCCAAGTAAGCCCAGCGACATTGAGATGAAAGCCCTGTGTCTGTTCCCCGGCGTGGAGAATAATTCCATCCATGAAGAACTCTTGGACGCCATCTCATCGTCTTCGATGGCTCGTTCGATCTCGGTCATCTCAAAGTCCACAAGGATAGAGTTTGGGTCTCCCCCGCCATGGAATCTGGTCAATACGCTGCGAGCTTTTTCAGCCTGACCTTTGGAGACAAGAAAACGAGGCGACTCCGGAACGAGGATGGCGGCTGGGAGCACGAGGAGCGGGATAGCGATCTGTAGCAAAGACGGGATGCGCCACGACCAGCTGTTGTCGTGATTCCGGGTTCCGAAGGTCGCCCATGCCGCCAGGCTAGATCCAACATACCATCCAGTGTTGTAGAGCCTGTGACACCATCTCTCAGCTTTCTATCCTTTACGTATCCGAAGTATTATGTTCAGGATCAGTACCTACGCCGTGAGAACTCCTCGGTGCGTCGGGTATGCCAACTCCGTGATAAGAACAGGCGCAAGACAACCCCACCAGGCGCTCGGCTGGCCAATGATAACACGACCGATGATGAACCCAGCCTTGTCGGGGGAGAATGCTTGGAGAAAGCAACCAATACACAGAAAAGCGTATCCAACAAAGAGTCCTTTTTTCCGGCCCCAGCGGTTGGCGAAGTATGCCACCACGGGGTAGGCAAGCATGGACGAAAGCGCCTGGATGGCGTTGATGAAGCCGAGCCATGACCCCTTGGGAGAGTCCATGAATGTCTGCCACTGAGGGAGAGTCAAGAGACCGTTCATCATTGAGCCATCATAACCGTTTGCTGCACAGAGCAAGGCTAGAAAGATGCAGTAGAAGTTGAGGCTTATGAGATGTCGTTGTCTATACCACGGGACCCCATCGTTTGGAAGAACGGCGGCGAGTTCCGGGCTGATGCCTAGGATCTTGGTGGAAGATTGCGATCTTGCAAACATAGTATCTACAAATTAGAGCCCGAAAGTAAAGACTTGAAACTAAAGTGTGTGATGAGAAGGCCGACTCAACTGACAGGTCGAGAGTGCGATGAAACGCAAAGTGAACAAGTTCTTGGGAAACATTGACTCAATGTTCTTTGCGCGAATCATTGTCTACTTAAGTACCTCCTCAACTTTGCGAGTGCGACTTTCTTCAGAAATGCAACAGCAAAAGCCTCCAGCAAGCTAGATTGAGATTCTGCTCCGGCGAGGTCGTGACGGGTCATGTCGTGGAGTATCGGCGAATGGTACCCTGAAGACGCGATGTTGACCTGACCGTGGATACTCAGCGGCTCGTTTCTGCCAAAGTTTCCCGGTTGCCAGCAGCCGCATCTTTCAGGAAAAACATTTTGACGGGGAGCGTATCCTTGGACTAAGAGCATGCGCATATGTCGGGCTTCAGATGAGAGACATCCCCATAGCAGATGAGGTTGTTGTAACGAGTGATGCGGGGGATCTATAGCACTCTGTGGGGATCGAAGTTGAAGAATCCCCGTTACGTCTCCTAACCCCGCGTTTCTCAAACAGTAAGATACTCGGGTAGAATTATCCAGTCCGGGAGATACATCAAGAGGCCATGTAAAATAACCGGGGATGAGCCGACCCGGGGAGTTTCGGCCGTTGCTGAACATCCACCCCTGTCGTTGATTGGAAATATCGGCGTGCCTCCTCTGCGACGATGTCGGGAGATCTTCGGATTTCGCAGATACAAAAACGCTACTTGAATAACGGCTTTGTGGGAGACTCGTCGCACCTAACCACATTCAAACCTGTCTATTTGATATGCTTCCGGAGTAAGGCAGTCTCCGGGCGAAGATAGTGATCAAACAATAATGATATCTGCGCCTTGGGGTTAGCTTCATCAAGCCATGTCAGCTTGTGCCTCCATGCCTAGATAAGGGAATCGAGGCGGTAAATGTGCTCTTAGCTTGCGACATTAAGTCAACAACGGCACTTCATTTAGGTTGTGATGACTCTACTTGGTTAGGGAACGTGCTTATAAGATGATTGAAAGCGATCATATTGTTTTTTCTTTCTCGTATGTAAGAGAGATGCCTGGCAAATACATGGATCAGTCAACCGGTGAGCTGGCTCTGTACCAAGAACACAGTAGGTTAGGTCATTAGGCTAAATCTTCGCTCTCATTGACATTTACCCCTGAGATCGTCTCTGCGGACCTCTTGACTCGTCGCTCGGGGTCATGCCCCATTACGACAGCTTCCTTATCACACAGGGAACTGGAAGTATCTGCTATCTGTTACATTCTTCCCCTGAAGAGTCGGGCAAGCTTGAACAACTAAGGTTGAAGACAGGCTGCGAAACATCGCTATTCTTCGTAAGACCAAACTCTATGCCATTATTGACCTGATCAGCATTGGAGTCGAGCAGAATGTACCAAAATACATTGAGGCTCGTTTGGAAGAGGTCACAGCCGACGCCGGTCCAGTAGAGACGAGCGTTCTCAACTGAGGCAACAGCAGCACCTTCAGATTTGCCGGCTTTGGGAAGTAGTTAGCGTTCGAGACCATGTAAATCTTGAGATGTGATGCTGAGCGGAAGTCATACCATGCGGCCATCCAGTTTCAGTGACCCACACCTCCTTTCCCTTGCCACACGCATTTGAACTTCGGGAAGCAACTTCCCTTGTCTGGTCAAGAGCAGAGGTAAATAGGTCCGGGGCGTTCTCAATAGTGTTATTTTTGTCGGACTCCCAGTAGGGGAAGGAGTTGTGGCCGAGCCAGTCAACGGCATCCATAACGGCCGCATTTTCGGGAAGAATCCAGGCAGTGTATGTGTCGACGTGTCCAACGGGCTTGTTCGCCAGGGGAGGTATGCTTTGCTTGATCAAACTTCGAAGGTCCGCAATGTACCCTACAATCACACTTGCGTCGGCGCCCACGCCAACATATTTACCGGTCAAGCCGCTCGCATGCCGGTACAAATCTTCTGAGCCGACGGAGATGCCGACGACCAGGTTAGTGAAAGCTTCACCATACTGCATATATGCGGCCGTAAGAGATCTTAGCTCATTGGTGTACATTTGACTGCCGGCGCTGGCCCAAAGTCCGACCAGGATATTGGTGTTGGTATCGATGGCGGCCTTGTAAGCCGAAGTGGGTTCAGCCCATGACGAGGTCGGTTCGTGTGTATTGTTACACTGGATGGAAGTATACAGACGAGCCGAGGTGAAGTTTTTCCCGTCCGCTCCGGCCAGTGTCTTCGCGTTCTGGAAGTAGCGTAAAAAATCATCGTAGCCCCTGCATGACCCATCTTCGTTCGTGGCGCCATAGTTGAATCCCAGGAGTCCCAGCTGGTTTCCTGCCAAGGCAGTAGTGGCCAAGGACACAGCAACTGCCGTCATCAGATACATCTTGGATGATCAGTTGGGATGGGTATAGCTGAGAATCATTCGAGAGATGAATGGAAATTTGATTATCTCCTATCCCTTCAGCAAGAGAGTACTAGGCAAGCATCTTAAACATGGTGGCCATCCCGATTTCCTTTGTTTGCCATGAACAGAGCTGGATCAAACAGTCTTCTTTGCTTGATGCCCTACAAACTGCGACACCTTTAGGCGGACCCCTTTTCTTTTGTATCTGGGAACACCTCCTTTGCTATCATTCTCACAGTTTTCCGTGCGATGAAACAGAAGGGCTAGTGACCCGAGCTACCCAGGAAAACACGCATCATCCAGACCGTTCCCTGAATATCGGTCAAGTTTGCTTGGTCATGTCTCGATTGTAATATGATGTTCACAAGGTGGCCAACGGCTCAAACCGTGCAGGTGCTTCATCAAACCGTATGAGTGGATAAATCTTCTACACCGTACGGGTAGAGGAGAGAGAAGTGAGAGGTCGGGCCGGTTGAACATATGGATCATCCGACGCGGGGCTAGTTCAGCGCATCTTGGGCATTGGCGACATCACAGGGCGTTGAAAGCAGCTATCAGAACGGCCAGTGATGCATTAGCCGCACAAATCATGCAAGGACCATGACCATACTTAGCGCGGCCCCATACCCGAAGTAAAATATGGGTGCTCCGAGAGGGTGTGAGAGAGCACATCTATTCTTTCAGGGGCGTGGCCATCCGAACATACTTGAACTGATACATTTCCACGCCCGCCCCTGATTATACTTCGCCAGAACCTTGGTCCCAGTCGATGCGGACGCGCGGAAACATGCGTCTACTTAGAATTACTCCATCATATACTGGGCCCTTGTAGAATATGAATCGTTTGACATGAGTCGTTTGACATGCCTCGCGGGGTCTAGGTTGGAATGGAAAGGTAAAAGGACATTGGAAAGTCTAACGCAGATGAAATTCCATCTGGATGAAGCTCTGAAAGAGAGGCGAGTGGGCAGGAATATGACAACAGAATCCCGATATGGGTGGGCTGCGCCGCTGCGGGCGCTCTACGCTGACTCCGCGGCCATCACGCAAGAGTAGGATATCCTCCCATCTCTGTCCGCACAGAGAGAGGAAGTCAATTCCGGTTGTCCCATCTACGCCATTGGAAGTAGACGAGTGAGGAGAGGCCGCCCTGGGATCCTACTAGCTCATTGATCACGTAGCGATAGGTAAGTAATTAATGAGATACTTACACCATTTCAATGGTCGCTGCGGGGAAGCCACACCGAAGAAGAGGTGTGTTAGAAAGAAACGTAGTGCAAATAAGTATTTCCACGCTGTGTTATGGTGTTTATTCATGCTACAGGAATTTAGAGTGTGAAGGTTATCAGGTTTTATTTTCAATCACTTTCCTCTTGTAGAACTCGGGATCGTCTTAAACATCTAGTCTTCAGCACCAAGAAGCAAAAAGAGTTCACCCCCCCCCCGCCCCCCCACCCGGTGCTGAACTGGGTGCTACATCTCTTGGTGCTCATGCTGGGAAACTTTTTGGTGCTTATTCCGGGACTCGTGTGCGCTTAACTTGTTGTCGAGTAGGCTGGTTGGCGATTTTAATTTTTGACCACGAACCACTCCACCACCCAGCCAGTTTGACCTAACCCGTCGACCTAGACGACGGCCTGCTGGCTGGTGACGCGCATGGACTCGGGGGGTATATACCCTTCTGTCGTGGCAATCAATATGCGGGAAGGAAGGCATACACAGGGCCGTCCTGGCCGTACCATGCTCTCTAGGTACTCGGCCAGAAAGGTATACAAACGGAGAATAACAAGACCGGAACAAGCGCCATAGACTTTGGTAAGTTTGTAAAATGAAATGTTAAGCCAGCCTTGTTGGGTGACTCTAGCCCCAAGGGAAAACTGCCATGTCTCTGCTCGGAGGTCTCGAGCAGCACTTGAAGTCTCGGACGAAGAACTTCGACCGGAGCAATTAGGTGCGGTAGTGCCACGGCAGTTCAGATAAAAAGGTAGAAAATCTTGGTATGACATCCCATTGACGACATGAGTGAAACGAAATACGAAGATAACACGACAATCGTCTTAATGACAGTGGCAATGGAAGCTGGCAGAGCTTAAAGTAGACAGGTCAAAGAATTCGCTGGAGATGCGATAGCGAACCTGCAAAGTATGCCAGAATCGCTAGAAAAGATCTACAGCAGCCTAGTCTTGGGTATCTGGCCGCTCTGACGGCAGCCGGATTTATACGAGGTCAGACGGTAACACCGCAACGCGCCGACTCCCCAAGCTTGGAACTTGGATCGAAGGCGTTGTTAGGTGTGACTCTGCAGCTGATCAGCCTGTTGGAGCCCGTGCCGCTTCCATGTCGAATTCGGTTACTGGTCCGCTGAGGACTGTTTGAACACAGCCTCTTTGTCCTATCGGCAGCCTGTGCTGCATCACCACGAGCCTGACCTCTTGGCGGCAACGACACTTCAAGCCCCGGTACACGTTTGAATGAGCAGGAGTTTCGAATAAATAAGGTTTGGCTGAGAAACAAAGGGCAGCTGGAGAATATCAGACTGTTCCGAGATTTGAATTGATGTCTACGGACAAATCGCCGGAGGTTAGCCACTCTTCTCCTCACTCTCAGCTGTCAGTCACCTGGAAAGTGCTCCAGTTTACAGGGCGTTGGCGTATATCAGAAAGACTCCAACTGCTTCAAATCCATCTCTCGAGTTATGCTGTACGATCTAGTTCGTCTTGAAGATATGTCAAGAAAACATACAATGTGTGATGTTAACACCAAAAGATGCTTTAAGGGCATGAACACGCGCTGGTTTATGGAAAATGGCACGAAAAACACGCGACTGCAGATGTAAAGAGATACTTTTTTATTGATTAACCGATAATGGGGTTTCGGCTCCGAGAGCCTGGTTCGAGTCAATGTCGGGCAGTCCACCTTGAGTAAACCTATGGATACCGTATTGGGCTCTGTACATCGCTCCTCTTCGAGTCCTTACGCTATTATCTCCATACGCCTCTCCGCACAAATGACAATATTCGCATAGCTTACATCCGGAAGCGATCAATGGCGAGCGCAAGTTCCTTAGCCTCACGCTTCTCCACGTTCTCCTCGCTGAAAGCAATCCAACTGTCGATAGCCCGGATCAAAGCAACCACCTTCTTCGTGTATATGTCCTCAAAGACGCTGAAACCGCCGCCAGCGCCGTCATCATCACCACCAGTATCACCCTCGCCCTCCTTGGCCATCTCTCGCAAGTAAGCCTTGCGAGCTCGGACGAAGGCGCCAAGAATCTCCTGGCAGGTAGTAGTCTTGATGATATCGTCGGCCCAAGTCTCGGCGGGCTTGCCCTTTGCAATGGTCTGCTTGATGGAGACCTCGTGGGCAATGTTCACCCAGAAGCCCGGCATGAAGCCTCTCTGCTTGGGCACCCCCTTGAAGAGGGTCTTGTCGGTGTACTGATACTTGAATCGCTCGCACTCGTTGAGGATCATGCGCATGAAGTCGGCGATGCGGCCACCTTCACCCTGGAAGTTGGTGAGCTTGCCCTCGAGCTCCAGGTAGCGGCAAATATCGGTGGCGGCCTCCTTACTCATGAAGGAGAGGGGTGTGAAGGAGAAGCCGGTCTTGAAGACGATGCGGACGATGGTCGGAAGACGGTTGGTCGCGATGAGGAGCTTGTCCCCGGCGGTGAGCATCGAGGATGGGACGTCGTACCAGTCCGTTTCGCCGCCAGTTCTGGACCCAGTGCTGGGTCCTGAGACTGCAGTGTGCCCATAGGGATCAGTCCGACGCCTTTATGCTTGTTTGGCACCGAACGAGGAATGGGGGTGTTACTTACTTGCATTTCTGCGCAGATGTCGGAAGGTCTCCTTCTTCTCGCGGCGGCTGATGTAGACCGCGTTGTTCGGCTTCGTGTTCTTGCGGTAATACTTGAAGCTGTTGAAATTTGCGAACTGACGATCCATGGCGGGGCCGGTCGGGATGAGAGTGTTTGTCGGGACAGCCGCGCTGGTGGCCTCGATCTTGTCGACTTCCATCTTTTCGGTAGAAGTCATGGTGTTTCTTGATGACGGCAATTTTGATAAATGTAGAAGCAACAGGGTCGAGATCGATGATTGTTCGTTGTAATTGTTTGACTCGGCAGTCTTCGATTCTCGAGTATCGCCTGCTGTGTGGTGTGACGAAAGAAAGGATTTTCTTCAAGAAGATTCTGCAGGTTATTTCAATAAAGACGGAGCTGAAAGATCTTAACCCTTCCCGTGGGAATGTTCAAGAACAAAGTCCATCATTTCTCGGGCCGTGGGTGAATGGACTGATTGTCGAGGGTTCGGCAAGGCAACATCTAGGTGATTGCTCCGGAGATGGGGTCAGGGTAGGCGTGCTCGCTGCACGGTCCGAGAGTAACATTCGGCAGTAGGTTCAGACGACAGTTGTCCACGGAAGGTTGATGATGATTTGGAAGACATGCCGAGGGCGATGCTTTACAGTGTTGAGTTTTCACTGGTCTTGGCATAATGAAGGACAAAGATAGCTGAAGGTTCTCAAAAGTTGTGCCCACTTTCGGCAGGTTATCCCTCGGCGTTGAAGAACCCCTGGAGAGGAGGTCCAGACTTCAGGGGCTGGGGAAAACCTTCAAGGAGTTCTTCGATCAAGGCTTAGCGTAGTGCGGGCCGCCACCCTGAATCTTCCTCGCCATCGATTCCCGAAGCCGCCGGCTTTCACTAAGGTAGACTGCGGTTCGAGATCAGGCAACATTGAGTTACGCTAGAGTATGAGAGCCCCATGGTCGGACCAGACGGATGGACAGGAGTATCCCAAGTGGGATGGGATCTATCCGGGAAGGCTCTGGAGTTGTAATGAATGCCGACTGTTCTTGAAGATGGAGACAGATTTAATGAAACCAAGCCAGTATGCCTCACAGAAGTCTTCTTGGCATTCGCTTCAATTGAAGCTGAAACTCGCAGGCACGGCAGGCCTAGACCATAGAGCACGGTACAATTGTGCTAGCAGTTTTAGAGCATACTAATCGTACCCAGAGAATGTTTTGATCCGCGAGACTAGCCAAGGGGGTTGTTTGATGATGAAGGTTCACTCACGATTGCAACCCAGAGCAGACAATTATGGTGGCGGGGAAGAATAGTCAAATAGGAAAATGAAATCCACACCTTTTCAGTCACTTCAACTCGCTCGAAGAGAGTTTTCCTACAACTCGTGGTCCATTCCTTGGAGAAGGGGCATCCAACACTCCATCTGGCGCGCTGTCTTACTGCGCGTAAAAACTCAGCTCAGTTGGGAGGTAAGTCAACGACCTAAGCAGGCTATAAGACTTCGACTTCAAGTAATCGAGTAATTCGAGGTTGATATTACACATCTTCAGATCGCTGACTTGTGGCTTAAGGTGGTTGAACTTGGGTTCTCAAGGTACTATCCATATTTTGCTGAAATGAGGTACGCAGAAGTCCCTCAAAGTATGGTCACCGTAGAATAGCAGTCTTAGACGGCTTTCAGTGGCGTTGGTGAGTACCTGTACTAGGTACTCCTTGTCATCAAAGTCAAGGGATTGGCCTAAGTTTGTGGGCAGTACGGAGTAATGCTGGGCAGAACTCCGGCCGATGGCGCAGTTCTTGGACTGCCAGGCTGTTCAAAACAAAAGTACATGTACCTACGTACAGACTTGAAGCCTCGTTGTACCCAGGTAGCTAGTATAGGCTTGGGAGTTGGGACAGAGACCCGCAACAGTCTGGCAGATTGGAATAATTCACGAGAACTACCTCAGGCATCATCTCAATTTCCACCCTTCTAGCCATGCCGATGCTCGGTTTGCCTTTTTCTGTCATCGGAGGATTGATTGTCTGATGAATTCCGAGCTGTTCTTGATACTCGAGAATAACTTTCGCTTACTCCAGTCATCCCGCGTTGTTTGCCAATTGCTTCAAACACGTCGATGGAGTACCTACATCAAAGTCGGCATGAGCACAGATCTTCGGCGACGCCTAGGAGGGATCTTTGGTTCAACTCTCTCTGTTTCTCTACCAATAAAACAGTAAGTTCACGTATACATGAAGAATTTCGGAACGCAACCCAAGGAAAACTACCCGGTCTCCGACGAGAAACAAGAAATAGAACGAGACCGAGTACTGCGTAGCAAAGCAAGGTCAGCAAGCAACATTGCGAGCCGTGCCTCAGTTTAGCAACACTCCAGGATTCAGGGCTTAGCCGCATCTGGTTCGTGTGGTTTGCCTAGTAGGAATGAAGCGTGGTCATCTGCCACTCCTCGCAGCGATAAGAGAGCCAGTGTGTCATATATCAATTTTCGTACACGAAACATGCTAGGGTTGGAGTCGAAACTCTCGCCATTTCCTTCCTAATCGTGTCATTCCGAGCCTCTCATGAACACGAAGTCGCGGGGTGGCTCGCTATGCCCCCGCCAGAAACCTCAATTGACAAGTTCAAATCCCGATGCCCGATTCCCAGCTTGCGCAATATCACTAGGGAAACCATCTGCTCAGAGGAGTCGTTGTCGTCGGGTTGGCCATTCGAGCGGTCGTACATCCCATCGAGTGCGCAGTGATGATGACACTGGCGTCTTGGACCTGCGACTGAGCTTCTCGAGCACTCCAGGGATACCAAAGGAATAGATGGAAGACTACCTCTCGGTATCGTAGGTAAGTCAAGAGGGTGTTAAAAATATTCCCATCGCCGCCGAGGAGCATGGACGGCGTGCTAGAAAGGTCCGAACACCTTCGGCATGCCGAGCACGGCCCAGAGCCCGGTGAAGATGCGTCTGTGAGCGACGATTACAGCCGGTAAGCCTAGATGCACATTTCTGGGACGGAAGTCTCCAGGTCATCCAGTGTCGTTCGAAGAATATAACATTACAATAAAGGCCAGAATTGGACTGAATTGCACGAATGTAAGGAAGGATACGACGAACTTCAGGCGCCAGTAGAGACACCTGCCCGTGGCAATCCCAAAATCGTCGAGTGGCTGGACCGTCAACGATATCACAATCGGTCATGGGAAATTAGGGCAATGTCCTGTCAAGTAAAAATCAACCTCGGATCGTAGCGCGCGTGATAGGCAGCGTAGCGTGTGACGGGACGTCGTTGGGGCGTCCAGGTCTCGGCCCGCGGCGGCCCGCACTGTCAACCACCGACGGCGTCTTCACCTCACCTCGGTGAGCGCAGCACACCGAAGCATTGACATTCTGCCCCACCGAGAGCTCTTTCTGAGCGTCATCTCCTACCGAATCACCCGGCCAAAGCTCGTCGCGTCAACATACACCACATTCTTTAATGTACAGCGCTCTGGCCCATGCCAGACACCTGCTCAATTGCTCTTGAATTCTTTTCCTAGTTCTTTACCTCAGCAGAACCTGGCCCTCCAAAGGCCGCCGTCGACGCACAGAAACAAAAACAAAATGTTCGCAAGCCGCGCCTTCGCAAGGTCGCGGCCAGCTCTCCGCACAATCCGCCAACAAACGCCAACGACGAAAACAGCTCTACGCAAAAACTCAACCAACCCTTCCTCCTCTACATCCTCGCCGTCCCGCTCCGCAGACCGCATCCTCGACCGCGTCCCCCTCCGCTTCCAAAGATACACCACCGGCCTCCGCAAAGCCCCCGTTTCACACGTGATCGCCTTCCTGATCCTCCACGAAATCACCGCCGTCGTGCCCCTCCTCGGCCTCTTCGGCCTCTTCCACTACACAAACTTTCTACCGCTCGAGTACGTGACGGGTCACTGGGCGGGATACGTCAGGGATGGCGTGGGTATGGCGGAGAGGTATTTCAGTAGGAAGGGGTGGTTTGGGTTCGAGGCTCAGGACCGCGGGACGATGACGGGGCAGTTGGAGGGGGGCGGGGAGGTTGAGAGCACGCAGGATGTGTTGGAGAAGTGGCAGAGGGATGGCAAGTACAAGGTTGTGGTGGAGGTCGCTATGGCTTGGGCGATTACGAAGGCGCTGCTGCCGGCAAGGATACTCGTCAGCGTGTGGGGGACGCCGTGGTTTGCGGGCGTGATGGGCAGAGCCCGTGGATTGTTCAGATCCAGTCGATAGTCACGGTTGAAGATATCAAATATCACATCATGCTTCTGGTAGCGTATGGGCTCTTTGTTTGTGCTTTTTGATTGACCTATAACTTTTCTTCATCAACCTAACATGGCGACATGCATCCCACACGTTCGGCAAGCGTACGGTGGACGTCTACGGCTCGTGTATAGTGGTGGAGTAGAGATTAAGCATTTAAGGCTTCTCGTAGATCCAGTCGAACTGGGAAGCCTTGTAGGAGACGACATCGCCATCCTTGAACCAGAGGGCAATCTCCTTCTTGGCGTTCTCGACGGAGTCGGAGCCGTGGCAGACGTTGCGGCCGACGTCGATAGCGTAGTCGCCACGGATGGTGCCAGGGGCGGAGGCAAGGGGGTTGGTGGCACCGAGAAGGACTGTGAGGTGTATATCAGTATGAGGTTATTCGGCTCAAGGGAGTTATGCGAAAGATCCGTGAGGGACTTACCACGGCCGGTCTTGACGGCATCACGGCCCTCCCAGACCATGGCGCAGATGGGGCCAGAGTTCATGTCTGTGAGAATATCAGCTTGAATTCATGGTGAGCAAAGCATTGGGGATGGAACATACACTCAATGAGACCAGCGAAGAAGGGCTTGTCCTTGAGGTCGGCGTCTGTTTGGAAGAGTTAGCTCTACTTTGCGAGGGAACCGAGAGGAAGTCACGAACAGTGGGCCTGGAGGTGCTCCTTGCCGGGGGTCATGAGCTTGATAGCGACGAGCTTGAAGCTGTAGTAGACGTGTTAGAGATGACGGACTTGTCCAGAGTAGGTAGGGCATCATCTGGGAGAAAACTTACCCACGGGTCTCGAAGCGAGAGACGATGGGGCCGATCAGGCCGCGCTATGGGAGGGTCAGCTTGCTGTGCCTGGCAATTGGAAAGTACCAGGTGGGATGAAGCGTACCTGAACGCCGTCAGGCTTGATGGCAATGAAGCTATCTCGAAGTCAGCTTTTTTTGTTCTGTTTCGTAGTGGTGATGTGTGCCCCTCTTCTGCCCGAAACCTACCACGATGGCGGGGTAAATTTCAGGGTAGCGGCGGGAGCTCAAAGAAAGGCAAAACAAAGCATGATGCAGTATTGGAGTGCAGCACGCCAACTCGATGTGCAGAGAGAGAGCAATTGGGATATGAACTTACGTCTGCTCGGTAGACATTTTGGGAGAGGTATCAACGACGACTTTGGGAGTTGAAGATGGTTGATGTTCTTGGTAGATTGTGGTGGTGACAACGGAAGGGGCGACGGGAGGAGAAGAAAGGTCTGCTGCTGACCGCTGGTTTTGTTGGCTCGAGGAAAAAATTATGTACAAACCGAAGAGGAGAGCGAGAATTATGAAAGTTGGTGGGGGCAGCTTCTCTGCTGTCCTGCGGGCGTACTCGGGGAAGCTTGCATTTGCATTATTCTGCTGCGGCTTCTTGTGCTTCGAGGCGGGGTCGTTGTCCTGCGCGCCGCTGCTGTGGTGGTGGGGTCCCGAGTCTGCCATTGGATGAAAGCAAGTACCTAAGGTGCCAAGGTAGAAACGTGGTGAAAAGGTGTGGAGATTGCTGTACAGTGTACCGAGCTTCTGATACGGCAGTTTTGCAACTGTGAAGCCAGACCGCCTAGTTTTTATTTTGACAGCTCAGCATTGATGGCAACCAAAAGGTGGAGGTTCACCGTGATTCTAACGAGAGGGTGAGGTGAGGTGTCGGGTGGCATTAAACCAAGGGGAATGTTCCTTACCTATAGTACTTGAAATACAAAACACCAAGCTCAAGTTTCTTTTCTTTGGATCGTCACATGCAATTGACCTTAAATTTCACTCAAGAGAAGCTCAAAAGTCATGCAGTTTTGGGTTGATACATAAGTAAATAATCATGGTGCGTGTTGATTGAGATACTGCCCGGTTGTCAGGTACAAATCAGGTACCTATTTTCCGTCTTATTGCATCTCGGATAATCTCTTAAGTGGCACAGCGGGGCTAATGTGCTCTTATTGGTTATCCGGGACAAGGTAGGTACCTCTACGTCTATTATGGGCCCTGTTCGTCCATCCTGCCCGGTCCCGTCCCACCATTTTGATCTGTCACTTCCACTTCACTTGACATCAAAAGAGACTTGATAGAAAGCCGATTTCCTGCTCACGCGTATCGTCATTCTCGACGTGGCTAGTAACGTTTCCAGTGAAGACGAAATTCTGTTTGGATCCATTGTACAGAGGCCAATTTGTACCGTTGACTAAGAAGCTCAGCGTCAGTAGCCATCCTGTCGAGGTCCGCACAAGATCGCACTTACCGGATCCATTACTATTCGGGTCGCCCGTTGCAACGAAGCTAGCCCATGCTGTTGCCATAATTACAGCTAGGTCAGGGAACGACTTGGGCTTACCTTGCAGAGGCCACACGTCATAGTCGTCTCTGCTCTGGTCGTCGAAGACGAAGAAGATCTCTTTCGCATGCGTTGCGCCAATGTAGCGAGGCAACCCGCTGACAATGACGTCCCATCGATACTTGTAAAGACTAGAATACCAATTGGTTGATGAGTAAGCATATTACAATACGTCAGTGCGGGTATACTTACGGTACGTTGTACGCCGCCCACATCTGAGCCGTATAACGAGTCGGCACAATGATATTGGAGTCGCCAGCGAGCGTAACAGCTCTCTTGTACTGATAACCGAGTTCAGCACCGAGATCGTCTGAGTACGTGGCTAGAGCCTGGTCCGATGCGTTTTGGCGATACAAGTCGAACACTCTACTTGCAACCGTCTCATTGGCCTTGAGCGAAACAATGTAGTCCCTGAATTGTTCATCCGTGTCGATCTTGGACGTTGGATAGAACGTGGCATTGTCGAAGTTGTTGCCCGGGATAAAGGCAGATCCTTCGTCTGTGTTGTGGCCGATGATATACGGGACCTTGACGAAGTTGCCCTTGGCCAGCTGGGCTCCTGGGGCATCGGCCACGAAGTCACCGTCAAACACTTGGACTTGTTATTAACCCGGGCTTGACAACATTCAAACCTGTGGATACTTACCTAGTCCGTAGGAAGCTCCTGAAGTGGCTGTAGAATTGACGACGGCATTCAAAACCTCGATTGGGACGTTCCGGAGACAGTCAAGCGTATCTGTCGTGTTGCAGCCTGTGCCGACTGTGATATTCTCATAAACTTCGTCCCATTTTGCGATGTCGAGGACTGTAGCGAATCACTTCATCAGTCAGAGAGTCTTAGCCTGGCAGACTGAAACTTACACGGAGAGAATGGCGAGAAACCCGCAGGGGCTCCCGACTGAGAAATGGCCCCTCTGAATAATCCGTCATCGCGCCCATTGTACGCCAGAAGTTGGGCGCCGACAGAACCTGCACCCCTAGAGACAAAGATTCATCAGCTCGGTTTCCAGGGTTTCACTTTAGCCCTCGGAAAGTCTAGAGAACATACGCGCTGTTACCAAATATGGTTACTTTGGTAGGATCTCCTCCAAAGGCGGCGATGTTTTCTACGGACGAGTTAGCTGAGAACGTGTCAATCAAGCACCTCAACAGTTACGACTTCCCTTGTACCCAGTGTAGTGCCAATCTTTGATCCCTAAAGCCAAGGTTTGCAACTCCAGCAGCCACAATTTCAGACCCTCCTAGAAAGCCAAAGGCGGAAAGACGATAGTTGAAACTAACACCAATGATGGGCTTCCCAGCTGCAACAGAGTCCCGAATGATGGACGAGAAGTTCAACCGAGGATCAGCGCTGCCACCTTGGAAGTAGCCGCCACCGTAGATGTACACGGCAACTGGCAGTGACTGGTCTGTGTAGTTGGAGGGGCGAACGACGTTGATGCTCAGGCAGTCCTCGGAGATCTTGAATCCAAGCGCCGCGAGCCTGTTGTTATCGTTCTAAATAACTTTAGCAATGCCCCCTATGCACACGACATTTGCCCAGCGAGGAGGAGGGTATCCTCGCCGCGCGAACTTACACCGTAGCCGTAGCAGATGTTGCCGAATTGAGTAGCGTCTCTCGATCCAGTCCAGGAGATGTTCAATGAAGCCGGTGGCGAGAATCGAAGGGGGCCTTGCACAGGGGGTTGCGCGAACGGCATGCCGAGGAAGTAGTCTTGGTTGAGTAAAGGCAGATGGACGCCCGTGTAAGAGCCATTTCTGATTTGGACTTGTGGCGCCTCTTGACAGAGGCCACCCGAGAGCCCGGCGAGTAACAGAAGTAGCAAGTGCGCCATGTTTACGTCTGGATGAATTTGTCCAACTATCACGAAGTATGACCTATATGGAAATTTATTTCTCTTATAGTGCTGTCATTTATGCAGCGTGGGCAGAAGGTAACCTTTCATTTTGATCGTTGTCCTGAATATCGTCACAGTTCTTGACTCGCAACCCTGTCTTGATGACTGTTTCTTGGTTATTTCCGTATCGCTTAAAGCAAAAACTACTGGATCTCCTTCTCAATTGAGGAACTTGCAGGCGACTTTAATTCTTTCCAGTGATAGGTCATGAAATTGATCAAACAAGCCTCTCCGAGACGCCCGTTTCCTGCCGCTTCATCCGGGATTCCTATCCGGCAATTGCTCTCGGAATCGCATCAAGCGTCCTTGTCATAGTGATGCGGATCATGAGATGGTGAACAACCGAGCCAACCTGGCTCTGTTGGATCCACACATTCCACAAAAGCCGCCCAGGCCCGGATGACACAGATCTCAAAGAACAAGCATGCGTAGTAGTCGAGTGATAATGTGATACCATCTCTCAAGAAGCTCACGATCTGAGACCACATGGGGAGGGCGCTCGTAGACGTCGTCTCGTCTCACGCGTGCCTGGCCAAACCATCGATCGCATGGGTAGTTCGGTACGGCATTGTCAAAACACAAACCGAATAGACGTATAATCCTCACGCACATAGATGGAAGCCACCATAAATACTCCTTACAGAGAACGATCGAGTTTCTATCAACATTACCATCCACCAACAACAAACGCATGTGGTTTGGAAGTCGTTTACTCCCATGGCGGGGTAAATATTTGGCTAGAAAGGTCTATGCAGCTATCCATCTTCAAATATCCGATTAAACATATGCTCTCCGACAGACCCCTGTCTCCCGCAGCATGCGACCCGCGCTAAGCCCGAAGTGGAGCTAGTCAAGGGGACAGCTGTTGAACTCAGGCGGCGTCTCACCTTCACAAGTACCTTCCACCCAAACGTCACCAATTCCTCCCACCCAACCCGATTCAACTTGTACCAAAAACCACCACAAACGCGCGACGCGAGAGCACCACAAAGAAGATTCGCCTTCTTTGCTCTCATTCCCATGCTCGCTTCTTGATTTCATAACTTCTTCTAGCAGTGCATTGAATTCTTTCGGACAATCACACAATCGCCACACCCCTCCGCCATGGGGACCACCGGCAAGTCGTCCTACAAATGGACGACCTTCTTTGGTCTACTGGCGGCACTTAGCTGCATGATCCAGCCCGCAGGTATGGAATCCCGTGACGCAATGACCTTTGCTTTACTTCTATTACATCGGATTCACGTTGCTTGGTTCCCCCTCCATTGTTTGTCCTAGTTGTACTGACAAGGCAATCGCAGTCATGGTTAAGGAAAATGACTTCAAAAAGTGCCATCAATCTGGCTTCTGCAAGCGCAATCGCGAGTATGCCGATAACGCCGTCTCCCAGTCCTCGACCTGGGCCGCTCCCTACAATATCCTCCCCGACTCTGCTTCCCTCAAGGATGGCCAGCTCCAGGCTGTCATCCTCAAGACCATCAACGATGCCCAGGAAACTGTCCGCCTTCCCATCACCGTCTCCTTCCTCGAATCCGGCACCGCTCGCGTAACCGTCGACGAAGAGAAGCGCCAAAAGGGAGAGATCGAGCTGCGAAACAACAGCCCTGCCCGCAAGGAGCGCTACAACGAGGCCGAGAAGCACGTCATTGTTGGTGGCCTGAACCTCGACAAGGAGGCCAAGGTCGCCTACCAGGACAAGGACCAGATCACCATTCAGTACGGCCCCTCCTCCAAGTTCGAGGCTGTCGTCAAGTTCTCGCCCTTTAGCATTGACTTCAAGCGTGATGGATCTTCCCACATCAAGCTCAACGACCGCGGTCTACTCAACATGGAGCACTGGCGTCCCAAGGTCGACAAGCCTGCCGAGGAAAAGAAGGAAGGCGAAGAGAACGCTGAGAAGGCTGAAACCACCGAAGTCAAGCAGGAGGACGAGAGCACCTGGTGGGACGAGACTTTTGGCGGCAACACCGACTCCAAACCCCGTGGCCCCGAGAGTGTCGCCCTCGATATCTCATTCGTCGGATACGAGCACGTTTTCGGTATCCCTGAGCACGCTGGTCCTTTGTCTCTGAAGGAGACTCGTGGCGGTGATGGCAAGTACTCCGAGCCCTACAGACTGTACAACTCCGATGTCTTTGAGTACGTTCTCGACAGTCCCATGACTCTCTACGGAGCGATCCCTCTCATGCAGGCGCACCGCAAGGACTCCACTGTCGGTGTCTTCTGGCTCAACGGCGCCGAGACCTGGATCGATATCACCAAGGAAAAGGGCTCATCCAACCCCTTGGCTCTTGGCGTTGGCTCCAAGACCAACACGAAGACCCACTGGATCTCAGAGGCCGGCATCCTCGACGTCTTCATCTTCCTTGGCCCGACCCCCAAGGACATTTCCAAGAACTATGGCGAGCTCACCGGCACCACCGCCATGCCCCAGGAGTTCTCTCTCGGCTACCACCAGTGCCGCTGGAACTATATTTCTGATGATGATGTCAAGGACGTTGACCGCAAGTTTGATAAGTTCAAGATTCCCTACGACGTCATTTGGCTCGACATTGAGTACACCGATGGCAAGAAGTACTTCACCTGGGACGCCGACATGTTCAAGGACCCCATCGGTATGGGCAAGGCTCTTGATGAGCATGGCAGAAACCTCGTGGTCATCATCGATCCCCATATTAAGAACGAGGGGAAGTACGATATCACCGAGCAAATGAATTCCAAGGGCCTGGCCGTCTTGAATAAGGAGGGCAAGCCTTTCGAGGGTTGGTGCTGGCCTGGTTCTTCTCACTGGGTTGATTGCTTCAACCCCAAGGCTGTCGAGTGGTGGACGGGCCTCTTCGACTACGCTGCTTTCAAGGGTACTATGGAGAACACCTTCATCTGGAACGACATGAACGAACCCTCTGTGTTTAATGGACCCGAGGTCACCATGCCCAAGGACAACATTCACCACGGAAATTGGGAGCACCGTGACGTGCACAACATCAACGGCATGACCTTCCACAATGCCACCTTCGAGGCTCTCCTCACTCGCAAGAAGGGCGAGCTCCGCAGACCTTTTGTCCTTACCCGATCCTTCTACGCTGGCTCTCAGCGTCTTGGTGCCATGTGGACAGGAGACAACCAGGCCTCGTGGGAGCACCTGGGCGCTGCCGTACCCATGATTCTGAACCAGGGAATTTCTGGATTCCCCTTTGCTGGCGCCGACGTTGGAGGCTTCTTCGGTAACCCCGAGCCTGAGCTGATGGCACGCTGGTACCAGGGTGGAGCTTTCTACCCTTTCTTCCGTGGACACGCTCACATTGATGCCCGTCGCCGCGAGCCCTACATGCTCGCGGAACCGTTCAGAGGCATCCTCACCGCCGCCATCCGCCTTCGCTACAGCTTGATGCCCTCTTGGTACACTGCCTTCTTCCACGCCCATCGCGACGGCAGCCCGATTGTCCGCCCCATGTTCTGGACTCACCCCACGGAGGAGTCTGGATTTGCCATTGATGACCAGCTGTTCGTCGGATCGACTGGTCTTCTCCACAAGCCCGTCGTTGAGAAGGACAAGGAGTCTGTCGATATCTATATCCCCGATGACGAGGTGTACTACGACTACTTCACCTACGAGAAGCTCGCCACCAAGAAGGGCCAGTACCTCACCAGGGACGTTGCTCTCGACCAGGTCGCGCTTCTGATGCGTGGTGGCCACATCTTCCCGCGCCGCGATCGCCCCCGCCGTTCGGCCAAGCTCATGCGCTTCGATGACTACACCCTGGTCATCAGCGTTGGCAAGGATGGCCAGGCTGAGGGCGAGCTTTACGTCGATGACGGAGACTCCTTCGACTTCGAGAAGGGTCAGTACATCTACCGCAAGTTCAAGCTTGACGGCAAGGCCATTACATCCTCTGATGCCGAGGGCCGTGACTCCAAGTCTGTCAGGGAGGGCTCCTGGCTCAAGGCCACGAGGGAGGTCTATGTCGACAAGATCATTGTTGTCGGCGCTACCAACCAGCTCAACAAGAAGGAGGTCACTGTCACGTCAGAGGGCAAGAGCTGGACTGTTCCTGTTCAGTACCACACCGCCGAGAAGGGTCGTGCCGCCTACGCCGTTGTAGGCAGAGTTGCTGCCCGTGTTGGAGAGGACTTCAGCATCGCGTTGGCTTAGGACCGTCCGAGGATACGAATCCACCGTCCGAGGATGAGGAGACATTCATGAGTTGGTGCAACACCTCTCGCGTGCTTCGTCGTTGGGTTCTTCGCCTGAGATGTCCTGAACAGCAGAACTCGACGGTCAGGACATGTGAAACCGACGGAGACGCCTGAACGGTAGAGCACATTAAGAATAGAGATAGTGAGCTCCACAGATCGCCACAAGGGTGGATGATTGAGAGGCTTGACAAGTCATTAGAGCGCTCCATTAGAGAGAGAATTGACGAATACGTTCATAAAGATTGCCTAACTTGAGCATAACTTCTCGCTCCTTCGTGACTCCATGTGATTTCGGTTAGTTAATCTAGAACTGGGTCGGTGGCTCGGAAGTGGAACGGTGCAGCATTCGTCGGGGTTCCTCCGCTGCAGTGAATAGATTTCGTGGAGCCCCAATTCCCAAGCATTTCCGCTCTCCTCCGCCCCCGACTTCCGCTACGAAACAGTCCGCGATGCCGTGAGTTCCAGTTCTGGGACTCCACATGTCCGGGGGCCTTGTTAAGCTTCAACCGAGAACACAGCCTCGCTCGCTTACGATGGACTTGATTTCCGTGGTGGATCTTTGCAGGGCAATATGTCCCGGCAGGGTGATTACAACCACCTTGTCCTAGACGATGATTTGGTTTCTGCCATGGAGGGTTCTCGAGGTAAACCTTTCAGAATGTGAGCGAATTACTCGTCTAGTTCGTAGACGTTTGAAAATCACCCATAACTTCCTAAAATTTGCGGCTCTTACTCCACAAATGATCCGGGTATTGATGCATTATCTGGGACTATCTGCGAGGTTCCAACCATCTTACAGGTTCTACTTGCCGAAAGTAGAAGAGACATCAAAGCAAAGCTTCTCTGCGGATATCTTTCCCCCACGGTTCAGCTCCATTGCTTCATTGACTGTCTGAGGGCTGAGTCTTCCGAGCAACTTCACTGGAGGCGGCTTGATGGCGTTGCTCTCGAGCAGACTTGGGAGCCGCTCGTACAGCTCAGCGCTGAGCAGATGATTCGGCATTGAGACCTATGGAGATGACGTGTGAGCGACTCGCGCAAGGCATGACGAGATCTGATGACGGACGCGAGTGAGAGGAAGGGAGAACGGGAAAGACGTACAGGCCAGTGCACCAATCCGCGGTACGTATGAGCCGTCGGAAACGCGGTGAAGACGAACACATCAGTCACTTTGATGTTGCTTGGCACCTCCTCGGTGTTTGCCTTGCCCGGGCGGACTGTACAGAGAACACCAGCTCTGCCGTGTAGAGCAGCGGCTGCCATCGCTGAGGAGCTTGCGTTACCGATGGTGTCGAAGATATGTGATAGTGTCGGCACTACAGTTTGGAGTTTCATCACTACGTCGGCGTCGTTGTAATCAAAGACATGGGTGGCTCCGGCATTCTTGACGTAGTCGAAGTTGTGGGGGCTGCAGGTCGTGGCTACGGGGTAGCCGTGAAGTTTTGCTAGCTGGATGGCGAAGTATCCGACGACGGCTATGTTTGGAACGTTATCAGTAGCCTCAATCTTGTTTGTTGAGAAACGCTGTGCCCGGTCATCTCAGGACTTACAACTGCCGCCCCAGATTAGCACGGGAGGCTTGGTGATAGATACATCTCGCGAGAAGCCGAGGCAATCTTCAGAGAATAGCGCCAGGTACGTAGTGTTTGCGGCAAGTGGAACGGCGCTGGCCTTAGAACTCTCGACGGTGTTCGGAACTTTGAATGAGATGCGCTCGTCGGCGATGCAGTAGGACCTGTGTAATTCAAGATTTATGAGGAAAGCTGCTTGAAACGATCGCGAACAAATACGTACGAGTACGCCCCAACACCCATTATCTCTCCTGTGAAGTGCAAGCTCAAGGTCAGTACCCCAGTAAGGCTCTTGTAGACAGGGCACAAGGCAGGAGAATCTCGGAATGACTCACCTCCCCAAACCAACGCGGCGATTCTATCACCAACTTGCAACCTGCTCACATTTGTATGAGCTTGCGTGACGGTGCCGACGAAATCACAGCCCAGAACGGCACCGTCTCCAAATGCATCAACGTCGAGCGCAAGTCCTGTAGTCAAATGCATGAGCTCGATGATTAAGAACAAAGCCGGATTCAGGGCCGACTAGGGTTTAGGGTTACACCTTGTCGGGTTGAGTATCAAAGCTTTCATGACATACTATCTGTGGGATTGAATGCTGCCCATTCGACGCTGACGTAGACTTGGTGAGGTTATAGTTCCGGTAGCGCGACGTTTTCCACGACGAGTTGTCGGTTCTTTTGAACGACGGCAACGGCCCTGTCCATAATACTCATGTTGCGAGAGAAAGGCTGGTCGAAAGTTGCAAAGTAACTCACAAGTACAACGATGGTGGAAGACGGATGAAGTTGAAACTGACTATGTACTTACTTTAGCGTACCTTGCCCTACTTTGGATGCAAAGTACCTGGGCAAATTGACATCAGCAGCTCTGTCCCTCATTTACCCCTCTCAAACCCTGTTCCCCACTGGATGAACGACAGCCGGCTACTTTTCCATCCTTCTCGAGAGCCATAGTAGAACTTCAGAAATAAGGATGCAATTTAGCTTAGATAGAATGGTCGTCTGAGCGATATCGAGTGATCACCACCCTGTCACGGAAGAGACCAAGAAAGCGCGGGTTCGGATCCCGCCTCTCATGGGGCCGCGAACCCGCGTTTTCGCATTCGTATGCCCCGCATCGCCGTTGCATCGCCGGCCCTTGCAGGGATGGTCTCGGTCTACATTATGACGACGGATATCATCTTCTGGGGAAGTGGCCACTCCTAGCATGAGGTGTAGTACGGAGAAAGAACTCCCAGTTCAGCTATTCTGTGTAGCTGATGACGATGTTCTGCAACCCTATTTGCAGTACTGGCAGATTGGTTGCGTGATGGAGCAATTTCACCGCTGCCTAAGGTCACCACCCGCGGAGTCAACCCTCAAGACTCACCAAAGTCCTCCTTTTCTGGTATAGTCCAAGCTATTTCGACAAAAGCCCCATGCTTTACGCGTATCGGCCGCCATGTTTTCGATTTCGTACACGCCTAATCTTAATGAAGCCACCGTACAGGGTTTTGGAAAGAAGTCTGAGGTAATTTGCTTGCGAGACTTCATGTCAAACTGTAGACCTATCCCGTGGAGAATATCCCACAGCCACGTGCTATCTTCTATGACGAGTAGTAAGGTCCCGCTAGAGAAGTCCTACCGATGAGGGCAACGATGTGATCCAAGATCCGCGTATTCAGTCAACGACGCCCATCTTAAAAGGATGCCGCAGCCCTCCTGACCTCAACTTGCAGGAGAACAAGAATTTCGACGCTCTCACGGATTCTGTCCCCCCAAGAAGACATCATGCGTGGCCTTGGAGCCCTCGCGGCGCTCATTGCGTGTTTAACAACAGCATCCCAAGCCCACAGCCTTGACAACTTCGCCTCCCCTCCGAACATCTACCGCCCAAAGTTTAGATACTGGTGAGATCTAGTCTAATCGACCCAAAGGAGCCTCCCCGAGGTCCTCAACACTAACGTATTATCCTGCACAAGGCTACCCGATGCCGAAGTAGACATCGAAGCAGTCACCCGTGACGTGGCCGAGATAGCCTCCGTCGGCGCAGGCGGCCTCGAGTTCCTACCCTACTACCAGTTCCGCTCGCCCTCGGCAAATTGGTCCACCTACGGCTACGGCACGAACGCTTCTCGCGCCGTCTTCCGCGCGGCGATGCAGGCGGCCGCGGACAATGGCCTTCTTTTTGACTTTTCGATTGGTGCGAATCAGGGGCAAGGCGTGCCTTCGGAGACAGAGAGTGTTGGGCTGGCGTTAGAGTTGGTGAGTGATAACTATTCTGCTGCTTGAACTGACTCTCGTGACATGCATCCTTAAACTTCTCGCGAAGCTTCCATGAGATATGGGAATCGGGATGGCTGATACCACTGTATTAGGCATACGTCAACATCACAGTCGCCCCAGGGAACGCCTTCAATGGTACCCTCCCCCTCTCAACCCAACCCGCAAGCCCATCCCTCCACTTGTTCATGCATCCCTGCGAAGAGTTCGGCCAGCAGAACCTCTCCTTTGTCCTAGCTGTCGAAGAAGCACCAGTATCCAACGCTTCATCCAGCACCGTCAACCTCGGCCGCGTCGTCGACGTCACAGCCACAGTTGACCTCACCACGAGATCCATCTCATGGATGACCCCCAAAGACTCACAAAGCACATGGCGTATAATGGCATGGTACACACGCTACACCAACCAGCGCTCCATCGACGCCGCGCCCGATGCCGCAACATGGGTACAGAATGGGTCCTGGGTCACCGATCACTTCAGCGTCGCGGGGGCAAAGAAGCTGACGGGTTTCTTTGACGAGTACATCATCCCCGAAGAGCAGGACAGAGAGCTCCTCGCTCGCGTTGGGAAGTATGGTACGTCGAACTGCCATCATCCCCGGTGTCAAACACCCATCAAGTCCAGAAGCCGTGGCTAACATCTCGACCCTGAAGCCTGGGAAGACAGCATGGAAATGGACACAGCCCTCTGGTGGACGCACAACTTCGCCGACGCCTTCCGCGCACAAAGGGGCTACGACATCACATCCTGCCTCCCCTTCCTCATCCAACGCGAAAACTACTGGGCGGCACAGAACCTCCCCTACGGTGAATCCTTCCTCTCACAGAGCAACAGTACCCTAGTGTCACGCTGCAACGATGACTACCGCCTCACGCTCCAAGCCGGATACGAAGACTACATCCGCGCAACCTCGGAATGGGCTCGCAAACGGGGACTAGAATACTCCAACCAGCCAGCCTACAACCTGCCCCTAAACATGCTCGACTCAATCCCCCTCGTCAACGCACCAGAAGGCGAATCCCTCGGCTTCGACGACTCCCCCTCCCTCTACCGCCACCTCTCTGGCCCAGCCCACATGGCCCGTAACCCCGTCGTCTCTTCCGAAGCCGGCGCCGTCAACGGCGCGTCGTACACCCAGACTATAGCGGACCTGCTCCGCACCGTCCGCCGCGGTCTCGCGGGCGAAGTGAGCATGAATGTCCTGCACGGGTACGCGTATTCTGGCGCCTACGCGCAGACGACGTGGCCTGGGTATACCGTCTTCGCGTACACGTTTACCGACATGTGGGGGCCGCGGATGCCGGCTTGGAGGGGGAGTAGTCAACATGCCGGCAACGGAGAGGGTGGGAACGGTACCAATCGTTGGTTCATGGCTGAAGCGATGGCGTATATCGCGAGGAACCAGTTCGTTAGTCAGGTCGGTACCGCGAGGGTTGATCTCGCGTTCTATCAGTACGCTGCACCGTTCGACAAGGTGGTCTATGGGAGCGACAACCTTGAGAAGATGGGCTTCACGTACGACTATCTCGGCCCCGCGAGCTTCTCCTCCCTGAATGCCGTCGTCAGCGAGGAGGGCGTCCTCGCGCCAGATGGACCCGCGTATAAAGCCCTCATCTTTGCCAACCAGACAAAGCTGACGCTGGAGATGGCGATGCAGACGAGAACATTCGCCGAAGCAGGGCTGCCCATCTTCGTTGTTGGGAGCGCGGATTTCCAGAGCATTGGTGTCGATGGAGCCGCTTCCGTTCCTGAGATTATGAAGGGGGTTCTTGAGATGGAGAGCGTGACGGTGCTCACGTCCGCGGAGAAGGTACCAGCTGCTCTTGCTGCTCTCAACATCCGGCCTCGAGTTTCGTTCTTGCAAGATGATGCTGTTGAGAAGTGGTATCCCTTCTCGCGAAGCACAGAGGATGCGGAGGTTGTGTTCTTGTATAACGACGGGGGAAATTCCACGACTACGAATGTTAGCTTCCTCGATATGCTGGGCAGAACACCGTACACCCTCGACGCCTGGACGGGCTCGGCATCGCCGCTTTTACAATACACCGTCGAGGAGAACAACATCATCGTGCCGGTGACGCTTGCCGCGAATCAGACTACCATCCTCGTGTTCTTCAACCAGACCTCATCCGCAGATGATGAACACAACAAATCCTTCCTGCCTCGTCCGCCAAGCACTCACATAACATCAACATCTGGCCCCCTTCAAGGCCTCCTCTACACCACGCCTCAAGATCTCAATACAAACGCCACAACTAACGACACCCGCACCAGCGGTATCGCAGCACATCTCGCACCCGGTACCACAACACTCACCCTCGCCACAGGCCAAATCCTGACCTTCACCACCTCTCAGGTCCCAGAAGCAACAGACCTCGACACTTGGAACATCACAGTAAACGACTGGCGTAGCAGCAACAACTCCCTCTCAATGGAAACCGTCATCACACCGCACCGGTTCCTCAACAGCCCGCTAGCGCCCTGGAAAGATTTAGACCCAGTGAACCTGAGCAACACAAGCGGTACAGCAGACTACGAAACCACCTTCCGAACCCTATCCTCATCTACCGCAGAACAGCGCCTGGGAGCACATCTTCACCTAGGCGCCATCACGGACGCAACGACACTCTGGGTCAACGACGGGAGTGTCATCCTCGACGTGAACAGCTCGCCTGACGTGGTGATTGATATCACAGACTACCTGAACCCCTCCGCGGGCGCCCACAACCTAGTCAAAGTAGAAGTTGCTTCGACATTGTATAATCGCGTGAGAGCGGAGCAGGACAGCATCATGACGTTTGGAAGCGCTGCTTCTGTTGCGGGTGCGAGTTATTTCAAGGCTCACCCGGCTGAGGAGTATGGACTCAAGGGACCGGGGTCGGTTCAATGGGTCGAGACTGTCGACGTCCTTTGAAGCAGCATCGTCCAAAGTTCGCAGCCAGATTGTCGGCTCCGAGGCATATCGCACGTTCAAAAGGCGACGGTAACTTCTAGTTTCTTATACAATGTGACTTTCCTGTATATTGAAACTATGCTTGACAGCATTCAGAGGTATAAACATCACCTCCACGTAATTATCGTCGAATCTGAACTGTGATTCATGAAATTCAACGTACAGGTAATGAAAGTATGATGTATCAACGTTTCTGTAAGCTACTCTCATCTCGTAGCCCACCCGAGTCACAACAAACTTTGAGCTTGCAAATGTGTGGGCGCGTTACAGGAGTTGCGACGCCTCATTCACTAGGGATTATGCAGCAACTCAGGGGTAGAGTTTGATATACGAAAAAGTATGGCAAAGTGTCGTCTCCTCTACTCAAATTGGATGGCAGAAGAAAAGCAAAAGCCAAAGCATGGACGGCATGGGCCCGAGACAACGCCACTATGATTCGCATTAGCGGTCTTGTCGAGAGATAAAGGAAACTCTCTTCATTGGATCCTCTCCTTTCATTCCCGTAATCGCCGCACAGGGCACAGGCATGGTGGTCGCACGTCGTGGAAAATTAGGGGAGGGTTCAGAGTGTTTCGCGCCAGGAGCCTTGCATGTGAAGAAACGTCGCTGTCGCGTCGCGGGCTCGCGGCGGCTGTCCTCCGCTCCGGTATGTGTAGTCCGGTGGGCTGGCGTGCGTTTGCTCCCATATGCGCTAGGTGGGCGGCTGCTGATCCCCGGAAGGGAGCCCTGAAGCGCAAGGTCAGGGCACGTCGTCGGCAAGGGATATTGGATGGATTCTGACTTAATATGGGCGGTCGCGAGCGATAGCACGGACAGCGGATGGCGAGTTGATTCGTTTAGAACATTGAGCAATTAGCAGGGCCAAGGAGCGGTCTGGCTCTTCTCAATCTTATTGCGCCAGTTTCAAGCGGCTTCGCAATTAAGGGTACGAGGTCACGGAGGTCAAGGGCTCGCTGAGATCGCTACGAGAAAAAGCGGAAACGAATTGTGGCGGTTGGTGATGCTTGTTACTCTCTTTCCCAGTCGGAGAATCGTGGGTCAAGGGATCTGCTTGCTCTGAGTTGTCCTCCCGGGCTGATGCCGATCACCACTTTGATGGGAGGTGCATTTGCGGGCGTGGGATTGCTATTCGGGAGATGCGCGTAGACGAGCTCGAGGGCCGAAAGCTTGAATGTCAAAACCTGAGCATGAGCAGAGCATGAGCAACGCGCCAGCCGTTGCAGCCTATGTCTGGTTCGCTGGTGCGCGGCAGAGCATGACGACATGTTGGCGAGATGTCTAGACACGGACGCAGTACTTTGACGGTAGAGCAACTGGCGTGCTACCTAGACAACTTCGATCGTTTGATGCCGATCGAGTTTTCCGACCGGCCTAGAATTCCTGAAATGGCCCTTGAAGTCCTATCGTTTTGGGTCGCTGCTGACACAGCCACCGAAGAGTTGTGATGAACTGCGGCTTCCCGACGATGAACCTGATTCTCTTTGCGACTGTCACTGCCAAAGGCCAATTGACAATGAAAAGTCGTGTAGCTATTTTGGGAACCCAACCCCATCGATTTGGAGAAAACTTTTTCGGTGGCTGCAACCATTCTGGGTGAAAAGTGTGCTTGGTACCTGCGTCTAGCATTCTTCCAGCGGCGAGCGATGTACCGTCCGCTACCCTTGGAATGGGCGATGGCGGTGGTGGCAAACGGCTCCAGGGCGCGCATGAGAGAAAACGGGCAGGCGGAAGTCTAAAGAGGGCAAGCCGGAGAGTGACGTGGTGATCATTTCAGGCTGGTGTGTTGTGTGCTGTGTGTCGCACTGCGTCGGAACCCTTTTGGCACTAAGGTAGCTAGAGACGTGGGAAAAGAGGGATTTTCAGGAGGGTCGGAATTCCAAGGACGCTAGAAGGTGTTATCGCCGTGATGGTGTTGAGTCGAGATAAGGAGTGTCTCAGAGCGTCAAATCGTGGTGGTGAGACCGTGAGACCGTGAGACCTTGAGGTGTTCGTAGCCTGTGGTGTCGGTATGGGTAAATGAGTCTTTTTAGTGGTGAAACGGCTCAAGGTTCGACGGCAGCCTGTGAATTGCGGCGGCGAGCGACATTGGTGTAGGTACTGGAGCCTGAGTGTTCGGTGAGACCCCCTTGCAATTGTCTGATATTTTGTTGTGGCTGCAGTCATATCTCTCTTGATCCATCTGCGAGTGATCCATGACTCTGTGGTATCGTCAATGGACCCGACCGACTGACTTTCACCTGCTGTAGGAAGTTTGACAAGATGACCCTGCGGAGTTCAGTTTGGAGTTGAGAGTCCAGACCGACTCAACGATCCGGGGACTCGGGGAGGGAGCAGAATTTCTGAAAACTCTTCTGGACATTCTGGAGTCCAGGACATTGCTGACGAGGGGGGGGGGGGTTGCGGCGACACCATGGATAATTGGAGGTGAACGAGGTTGGGCTCCGTGTCTGAATGTTCGGCAGACTGTCGGTCGTGGGCCAAAACCAGCGTCGTCGGACAGTGACGGCACCGGGCGTTGGAAACAGTGAGCTTCCAAAGATTCGGGGGACGGTGGGCCGAGCTGAGGGTTAGGGGCTCAGCGGCCGGGTTCTGGAGTCTTGGCAGGGGAAAAAAACGGGCGAAGAGGACCCGTTTTGCCGTGGTCGAATGCGGAACATGGAAGGTCCACGAAAGACGCCGTGTGACGTCAGCCGTGGCTGGTGGGTCCATGTCGAGAGACAAGAGTGGGGGTCCATCGCAGCAAGAGGAAAGACCACCCACGCATGTCGCACCTGCACCCGACCGTCGGTCCATTCAACCCGCAATTTGAACGAGAAGGAAGGTGCGTTCTTTGTTGGAGGTGGCCCGACGCTCAAAGCTTCCATGAGACTGAGAGGAGGGAGCCTGAGGAGTCCTCCGTCGCGGTCCACCCAGCTGAATGACCTGAGGCACATGGACCCTTTTCATTGGTAGGTGAATTATGCAGTCCGGAATCCGAGGTGTATTGGTTGGTTGATTTGCATGCGCATCGATATGACAAGGGCGGGCGATGGCCACTTTTTGCATCCAAAGGTCGAGGGAGCCATCCACTGAGTAGCCGCTGCAGACACACGCAGGATTGCCAGAAGTGCCAGTGCCAGACAAGCACACCAGAATCAGATCAGGGCAAACTTCAGAGAACCCAGAGTTGGTATTGCTGCCGCCAAGACACACCAGTTCTGCCATGGTTTCCGCTCGTGGAATGGATTTGCGGTAGTCCCTCGTATCGAGACCAGTTTGGCCCGGCCTTAGTCTCTTTTCTACCACTGGCAGTTGTTCTCCCGCGCTTCGGGCTTCTTCAAGTCACCGTCGTCCCAGTTAGTGCCAAGTATCTTGCACAACCTCTAGGGAGGGTAGGTGTGCTAAGTGATGGTGGTGAGAGCATCTGTCGTCACTCGCTGGTGCTGGCATTGGTGACACGCTGGTGTCTGGTCTCTTCGGCCCTTTCCACAGTAGATTGGGCATTGGCGACAGGCACGCATGACAGCCATCGGACGCTATTTCTGTTGAGGGTGGCTTGCAAACTTGATGCTGCTAAACACCTTACCGTACTTAAGGCACTTGGTGGTATTTGCACGGCAGTCAAGTGCAGCAAGGGATGCCGTGCGCCAAAGGTGGCGGCCATGTGCGTACTGTGTATGCGATGGTGTTTTAGCCCGCCTGCCCGTCTTCATGCTCCTCCCCTGGCGTGTAGGTATGCCGGTATAACATGGCGATTCGGGCGGCAGCGTGTGTGATCTGCGACCGTCTGTTCGCGGGATCGGGAGAGACGGTTCAGTCGGTTGGTGGCGTCGGTTCGTTGCGACGCAGCGGAGAGCCTCACTATGCGACTGCGTCTCGGTGTCTCAGACGGCGGCCACCACCCGGCTCAGGGATGAGGCGTGCGGATGGACAGGCTATACCGTGGTGGAAAGGCACCAAAAGGATCGCGATGACGGGCGATCGTGGGTTCGACCGAGTGGGGGTCTCCCAGTTCATTGTGCTCCAGTATACCGTATGAATGGATGCGTAGCTTTAGTCTCCAGATTCTCCCTAGTACCAGCCATCTGTCATTCGAACGGAGAGTCGGAGACAATGTCAAGCTCGAAAGTGACCCATTGTTGGTATGGGGATCCGGTGACATGTGGTTGGCGCCTCCCAAGAGGGAACCCGATTCGCATCGTCTTCTCCTTGCGCGCATGTGCGGTGATGACTGCCTATGGGGAATATGACGATGAGGACAATCTGTAAACGACGACGACGACGCAGGCGCTAGCCGCCATTCAGTTTAGAGCTGCCGCGGACCGACGACGAATATTCGGCGCAAGGGGCGTGATGTGAACGGAGGAAAGCCAAGACCTTGATAGTGCGACAAATCGATCGATGGGTGATGCTGGCTACCTATCCGCAGTTTGCAGTGCACAACAGTGAAGACAATGCAGTGCAGTAGTTACCGTGCTGCAAAACACAAAGTTTCGGTCAAGAGCGAAGTGGAAAGCCAACGGGGCTCTGCAATTCAGAGTTAATTGCAATGTTGCAGCGAGAAAAACCAGCCATGACCTTATCGCCCACTGCGGTGCTTCCGAGTAATCAACTTGACGGAGGAGATATTCAGGGTCCCTCCCTTCCCCCTTTGTTCCTTCCGTCTGCAGTACCTAGGACGATGCGGCAGGAAGCGAGTGGGTGTGATTGTTGAGAAGGCAAGAAGGCAATACAGAGCTCCGGGCATGGTACCTTCCATCAATCTCAGGACCCTGGACTCCAGAAGGCAGAAGGACCATTGCTCAGCCCTTGGAAACCACCGACATACGTCCTCACCACCACCGTGGGCAATAGCTGCATCCCAGTGAAGGAGGCGCTCAAGATTCCAAGGTTTCCAGGTTCACGAGTTGAGTGTTCCCTGCAGCGGCTCTCCTGTCAGATAGCACGGACCCGGTTTTGAGCCCAGTGCCAGCCGGCATATCGCTGTCGCATTCGCTGCCACTGCCACCCTCCATTTGAGCAACTTGTCCAAGCTCCCACCTCTCAGAAAATGTCACTCGAAAACACAAAGAGCTCCTTTTTCAGATATCTTGGTGTACGTACTCTCGTGTATATGGTAGTCGTTTCTAAGCCGAGCAATCGGAAAAGTCTTAGTTACCGTAAATGCCTTGAGCAACAAACATCAAGAGCAAGAGACACATCCAGATGGACCAGATTGATGGCCCCAACATCAAGGTCCAAGGCCCACGCCCAGCTAAAAATGGAGACCCAATTTTTAAATGTTCATGACGAGCAAGCCCCCCAAGCAAGATCATCGCGCGTCGCCCCCATTCTTTTTCTCTGGGCACCGACGTGGCGCCGCGGGTCGAAGCAGCGATTCACAAGCGCCACCACTGGTCAACGTGAACAAGGCTCGGACGTGCAGATAGAATTCTGGAGACAATTCTTGGAACCGTCGCTGTCGTCAAATTCTTGATTTCCACCCCGTCCCTCTATACTTCATTGAGCTCAAACACCACCCCCGGGGACCCCTCGCGCCCTCCAATGCCAGAGGGGAAACAGAGGTCCAGTTTTACTCTACGAGTCCCTGTTTCTCTAAAATGACCGAGAGAGAGACTGGGGAGTCGGGGTGTCGGGGACTGAAGCAGGACCCATAACTTTGCTGCGATTGCCTGCCAGAGCTCCCATCCAATGTCATTAGGAGAGTGAAGAAAAAGAGTCCAGACTGCGCGACGCCTTGTTGATTAACAAATGCAAGCACATGGAAGTGCTTGTGCCTGCCATTTCTGCTGATTGCCTATTTGATCTCGGCCCCTTGCCCTTTCCCTGTTCACTTATTCCCAAGGTCCCGCTCCATCTGAATCTGAAGAGGTACGGGGATACTTGTTGACTTCCATCGAACCTAAGCTTTCCCATCGACAAAAGACGGGAAGGTGCACATCCCAAGAAATATTTCTTCCAGCCCATCTCCTCTCGACCTTTCAACAAGAGCTCCTTCCCTCGCTCTCTCTTTCCTGTCTCTTTCCCCAGATTTACCTGCCCCCAAGATACACTTCACCCAGGGGGAAACAGGAAGGTACCCATTTTGTACTTGATTCTTCTTGACTGAAGAGTCAACTGTCCTCACTCCTGCCCATCATCATCGCAATTCTTGCCGGTGGTCATAGCTACTTCCCCCGGAACACACACCGCGGAGTACTTGCGCCTTTGTCACCACCGACCAGCGGCAATTCTTCCTCACCGAGAAAAAGAGCGAAACGACCCGACCGCGAACGCCAATCGCGGATTTTACATCACCCTGCGGGCATTCTTTTGCCTCTGACGGCATTTATCGGGCCTATTCGCCTTCACCTACACAAAGTAAAATAGGAGAACATCTTGATCCCTCTTAAAGCAAAACGACCGCACCATTTTACCTTGGGCACATCCCGTCTCGCCCACTTACACCCCATAATCCTGCCCATCTCAACCGACGGCCCCTAGCGGCCTCTTCAACTCGCCCAACATGACGACGCCAACGAATAACCGCGATCGCGCCAATTCGGACGAAAATGAGAAGCATTCTCAGCATACGGACGATAGTCTCCAAACCGCAACTGATCCCAATTCTCAACCCACCCACCCCGAAAAGTTGACGAGACTAAACACCGACAACCACCTTCACATCCCCCAAGAGACACACGGCGGACCAATGTCGCCGCAAGATTCACGAGAACAGGCCTCACGCCTGAACGACGATCTGGAGCTGTTGCGCGCCGAGCGCCTCGTCTCTAACCAAGAACATGAGATTTCTCAGCAACGTTCTCGCCAGGGTAGGACCCGTGAGATGGAGCCCGAGGATGTCTTCGCGACCAACGGCCCAAACCCTGCCGATGCCGCCAAGCCGCCGCCCGAGAAGAAGGCCGGTGCCTTCGCCTTTGCATTGTGGAAGTGGCTGAGAAAGTTCCCGCGTGTCTTCCGATACTTTGTCTATCTGATTCCCGGTGCCGCCCTTCTCCTCATTCCAGTTCTCATCGGTCACTTCGCTGTTGATGCCGAAAGCGCTACCGTCGGCGGTGCTTATGGCGTCTATCTCACTTGGTTCGGGATCTGGCTTGAGGTTGTCTGGTGTTCATTGTGGGCTACCCGCATGGTTACCAGCTTTATGCCTCTCACCTTTGGCGGTATTGCCATTGTCATGGGCTCATCAAACCACAAGAAGTGGAGGGATATCGGCCAGGGTCTCGAGCTGCACACTGCCCTCTTCATGTGGATGCTCGCCATTCTTTGCTCCTACTCGCCCATCCTCGAAGACCACCGCGTTCTTCCCGACGGATTCAACCCGGACACCGACACAAAGCCGGATCTCAAATGGGTCGACATCGTTCAGAAGGTCATCATCGCTTTCCTGGTCCTGGCTGCCCTCAACTGGGTTGAGAAGATTTGCATCCAATGGATTGCCACGTCTTTCCATCAGCGCACATATGTCCAACGAATCGAGACGAACAAGAGCGACATTGACCATTTGGTACACCTTTACGAGCATTCCAAGATGCGAATCAACCGCGAGGACTCCATCTGGCTCACGACCGAGAACGGCAACAGATCAGGCGCCCGTACCCCAATGGGTGTCGTTGGAAAGAATGTTCGCACTGCCTTCAACAAAGCCGGTGGCGTTGCGGCTCGCGTTGGAAACGACTTCATAGGACGAAAGGTCGCCTTCAACCATGCCCGCAAAATCACCTACGAGATGTTGCGCAACACGGGATCTGCCCATTCTCTCGCCCGCCTTATCTTCCGCAGTCTCGCTAGGGAGGGTCAGGAGACCATCTACCTCGAAGACATGCAATCCGCCTTCAAGACCACGGAGGAGGCCGAACACGCCTTTAGCATTTTTGACAAGGATCTCAATGGCGACATCTCCATGGAAGAGATGGAGCTCACTTGCAACGAGATTCATCTCGAGCGCAAGGCCATCGCCGCCTCGTTGAAGGATCTCGATTCCGTCATCAAAAAGCTTGATAAAGTCTTCCTCGTCATCATTGTTATCATCGCCATTATCGTCTTCATCTCCATTCTCTCGGGCTCAGCCGCTGCCGGTCTCGCATCTGCTGGATCTAGTTTCCTCGGTCTCGCGTGGCTGCTCCAGGCCAGCGCTCAAGAGTTCCTGCAGTCCATCATCTTCGTATTCGTCAAGCACCCGTTCGATGTTGGCGACCGTGTCACTGTCTACGGCAACACTGGTACCACAGGAACTGGTGACGATTACTACGTTACGGAAATTTCCTTGCTGTACACTGAGTTTAAGAAGATGGAAGGTCACATCGTACAGGCACCCAACAGTGTGCTGAACACCCTGTTCATCCTCAACCAGCGTCGTTCTGCCGGCTTGGCCGACCCTATCGAACTCAAGCTTGGTTTCGGCACTGATCCGGAGCTCATCGAGGAGCTCAAGTCCCGCATGCTCAACTTCTGCCTCGAACACAAGCGCGACTACCAACCTCGCATTATTACTGAAGTCCGCACTCTCAACGAGGTTCAATCTTTCACCATGAACTTGATCTTCTTCCACAAGTCTAACTTCCAGAACGAACTGCTCCGTCTGCAAAGGCACAACAAGTTTGCCGCTCAGCTCATGGCCGAGGTCCGCGCTGTTGGTCTCCAGGGCCCTTGGCAGGTGCAACCTGGTGGTTCCCGCAACACACCCTTTTACTGGGCAGGCGGCGCCCCTCCTTCGTACGACTCTTCCAAGAATGGCGGCCCCAGTGGCATCGAGCCTGCGACGCCTGGAGGCGATTCTCACTCCATTCACTCTACTACTCAGCCTACTACAGCGGGTACTGCGGTGGCCACGCGCGCTCGCGCCGATTCTCGCACTGGTATGACGCCTTTCATCGACAACAACTGGAGCGATTTCCAGGATGTGTTTGAGGCTCGCAGAGAGGTCCACCAACCGCACGTCGCTCGTCTCCAGAGCATCCGCGAACGAACCGACCTTGAACGCCCAGAAAGCGCGACATCAGGCGCTGCGGCCTCGAGAGCCAGTCACGAGTCTGGGTCTCAGCGCCGACGCTTCTTTGGCCGACCCCGAAGTTCCAGCCGAGCCAAGACCGGCGACATTGTTTAGATTACACGACAGACGATGAAATCCCTTTTCCAGTAGAACAAAAGTCCTTTTCCCTTGCACCCAGGCTCGGGACACTTACACTCTTTTCATAATGCGATATTTGTAATTAGCGAAGCGAGAGAAGCGACCTAGAGAAGGGGAAGATGGAGGAGAGTGTGCATGATCACCTTTGCGTACTAAAAGATCTGGGTAGAATGCCCTAGTATTTGTCGCAAGGTGTCGACGGAGTTTTATTTCAGAGAAATTGGCATCAGAAGCGACAAGACGCTTTCCTTTGGACAGACAGAAATCGTGGTAAAATACCCAAATAGAAGCCTCGATTCGTAATTAATGAATTTGGTCTAACAACTCTGCTCACCCGTCGTCATTGTCAGTTTTTGACTCATATTCAGTTGCTCATCGTATGAAATGGTGATACCATCGTATCCCGTCTTTCTCTCCAGAAATTTACACCAACCGAACGCAGGCTTTTTCGGACATCAAGCAGCGTCTGTGGGGGCCAGGCGACACAGTTCGAGAGGCAGGTCCGACGGCACATCTCTTATGCTTCCAAACACTTCACTCTTCCTTCTCTTTCTTGTCTCTCTCGCCTAAAATAGCAGTGCCAAGGCCCATGTACCTTCCTCCGGAGGGAATTGATTACCCTGAGAAGCCCATTCCGATGTGGACCGGGAAGTGGAGGTTGGAGAAGAGACACACAACGGCGCAACCCGCCACCAAAGTAATTGTGTTATACAAGTTCATACTTGGACAGCACACCAGAGAAATAACATCTTTCTCACGACAGTCTACTCAACATCTCTTCACATTCGTCAAGCTACCGACATGGCATTAGGAATCCGTCATGTCCCGCTCCCTTCGGGACCGTCCCTCCTCCCCCGGACTACGATGCCGGGTTATCCGGAACAGGGCGCGACAGAACGGCTTTCCCGGCAAAAGATGCACCCTCTGATAGTGCCAAGGATATATCAACATACCTTAATTTTAAACAACCGGCTTTACTTGCCCCTTTCTTACAAGGCAAACCCGAGCTTGCGGATAAGGTTTTTGGTCCTTCTGGTCCCAAGTCCTAAGCTTCTCCCTCGGTTAACCGGGAGAGTCGGCATGCTGGATGGATATCGTATTTCATGAACCTCAAATCTTTGTAAGGCAACTCTTACGATAATATGCCTGGGAATCGATGTCTTCATCCAATCATCCTTTCGCTTGGCATGGTATGCTTCTTGAACTGAAAAGACTCACGAGGCTTCTTTGGAAGTTTTGGTGCACTACCGAATAGTGACCTCCTTAATCAATATGAATCCCCGGCCCATAAACTCAATTCTCAAGACGTCCGATTGAAGCGGGGCCGCAACGGCACAAGTCCGGGATGGGAGGCCCGGAGAGGTCTAAAAGGGCAACTGTATATGGACGTTTCCAGGGAATGGGCTGGTTCTATGCATGCCCGCCAAGGATTCCTCACTTTTTTCCCTAGAGGCATTGTTAGAATTCCAGGGGAGAATCGTGGACCAAAACAGTCAACATGGAGAAATCGAATCATCTGATCTCTATCTTAAATCGCCAAGACACGGAGCTCTACACCGATATGGACGATTTAGGCGCGAAGACGAAGAAGATCCTTCAGGGCCGGATCTTCTTAGTCCTTCTTGCAAACAGTTTCTCTTGTTCAAAAGACAGGTCTAGCGCAAGTTGACGATGGCCTCCAGTGGCTGTTGGCAATATTACTAGCTCTCCCTGACAGATTTCACCGGCCGTTCGTCTGTTACACGAGGGCGACATTCCATTCGTTTCTTGCAGTCCCGCAAAGACCATCCCCCGACTCTCATCCTCGCGAGAGAACAGCCCGACACCTTTCATTCTTCATACGCTCCCACTTCCGCAGGATATTTCTTCGCGTGATACCGGATACCATGGCGAGGATACTCCTCTCTCTGGCCGCCCTTCTCGCAGCAACGACAACCGCGTCCGCAACCTGCACCAACCCCTCGATCCGCAGACCATGGACTACCCTAACGGAAGATGAGAAGGCGAGCTACGTGAACTCGACGCTCTGTCTAATGGATCCGTCCCAAGCGCCAGCCAAAGTCGGAAGCTGGGGCGCGACGAGCCGTTGGGAGGAGTTGGTTGTTGCGCATATAGCGCAGGTGCGGTATATTCACACAGTGGTACGTGCAAATGCAACATCAAGTATCTGGATACATGCCGTCGGACTGTTTGACTTCCACCTTGAGAAGTGTGTGTTCGAGCATTGTTCTTCAATGAGGCTAATCCTGCCGAGTAACAAAATAGGGCGCCTTGTTCCCCTGGCATCGATGGTACACCAAGATCCACGAAGACCTCCTCCGCAACGAATGCGGGTACACCGGTCCATATCCGTACGCCTAACCTTCCTCTCTCCCCCCTTCTTCTACTTCAAACAACCTCGAATTCGGACCCGACTCACATCTACTCCAGCTACTGGGACCAACAAGCAGACCAATCCCTCTTCCCCGTCCAAAACGCCTCCGTCTGGGACACCGCATCCTCCGTCAAAGCCTTCGGCACCGGCCGAACCGATGCATCCACAAATTGCATCCTCGACGGCGCCTTCACGGAATACCGCGTCCGCTTCAACACGCAACTCGAACGAAACGAGACGGAAGGAGGCGGCGTCTGTCTCACCCGCGGCCTGAACCAGACGGCGTTTGACACCGTTTCCCAGGCTGACGTCGTGGATCCCTGTATGGCGCTGGAGAAGGGTGATGATTATGGCGAGATGTTGGGGTGCCTTGGGAATACGCCGCATAGTGGTGGGCATTTGGGCGTTGGTGGTATCGTGAGTCTTCTCTTTTCCTTTACGCCGTCTCCTGTTGTCTCAGCATCGAGCAGAATGGAAAGACTTCTCAACAGGGAAGCATCGAATCCAATGCTGAACAATATCACAGATGCGCGACCATGCCCGCTCACCTGCCGACCCAATCTTCTACCTACACCACACGAATTTCGACCGCCTCTGGTGGGAGTGGCAGACTTCCTCCCCCGGCAGACTCTACGCAATGGGCGGCCCCAACGTCGCGGCGAACCAGATCTTTCTCGACGCGCAGCCAAAGATCTTGCCCGAGGATATGTTCCTTCCATACTTTGGTGACGGGGGCGGCAATGTCACGACGCTGGACCATGTTTTGTGGATGCCTGGCTTGGCTGAGAATATCACCATCAGAGACACGATGGACGTCCGCGGGGATAAGATGTGTTTTGACTATGTTTGAGTGCGGTTGATACCACTGGGATGATCGTCTTGGGATTGATGGAATTATGACATCAAAAAGGTCGAGGCCCGAGACTTGTGGAAAGGTATGCAGCCCTTATACTTCGGCAACTCAGGAAGAGGAGAGTGGGGGGACCACCAGAACATCACTATGAAAGGAAGCTAACGAACGCCTTCGTGGACAGTTCAATGCGGAAATTTGATATGATGCTTGATTTGAGGTCTACCAGATACATGAGACCTCTGAGACAATACTACAAAGTCGTCACCGGAAGAGATATAATGTTTGCTCGTCCCAAGGGCCGTTTAATAGACCGCCCTTCCCAACATCTCGTATTGTTCCCATCCATCCACTTCTACCTTTTGATAAGCAGACTTCAAGCTCAACCTTGAGCCATACACGTCATCAAATCGACCCCATCAATATCGATACGGCAGCAGAACGTCATATCATAGCCACAAGCTCCAAGCAACAATGCTACCAACAAAGTGTAGCAAAAGTACAGTTGCTCTCGATGACAACCTCGGAGTACGCTGGGTAAAGTACATCGAAAGCGGAGGCAATGGCGGTGTTGTATTCTTCGTTGAATTTGGTGGCGTTGCACTCGCTGCAGTGGATTCCCATACCGGGCTCCGGCCAGTGTACTTCGTACCCAATGAAGCCCTTGAGCTCACCAGTAGCCATGTCGTATGCTGTGAGGTTGAACGTTGTAGGTAGAGTGAGGGTGTCGTCAGAGGTATCATTGGCAAAGGGGGCTGGCCCATGGTTGTAGACGAAGTAGCCATCAGAGCCTGGGACGGTACCAAGATTCTTAAGTGCGTTGAAGAAGACAGGCAAGAAGTTAAGGGGAGTAGCGTTGGTGCCTTGACAATGGGCCGTAACAGTCGAGTTGAGACGGTTCGAGAAAGAGTATGGGCTGCAATAGCCGTCCGTGGTGAAGAGGATACTGCTCAGGAAATGTGCAATGGTGCCGTACCAGATGGCAGGACGGGGGCTCACTTCTACCTTGACGCTAAGAGTTCTTCCTACGTCTGAGGGGTTGTTGGTACCACCTGTTGAGGCGGTCCCGTTGTCTGTAGGCACCCAGACGCCAGGAATTCTTGCCCAGGGAGTTGGACCGGTCTCAAGATGGTTGCAGATGAAAGCTGAGACGCAAGTAGAGTTGCCGGAAGCACTCATACTGATGGGGCGTCCGCGGTAAGTGTAACACCATAGAGTGGTACCGCCATCCTTGGTGCTCATGGCCTTGCCGGCACGCAAGAGCTCCGGAGTGCCGTCTTCGATCCAGGCAGACCAGGTATCACCATTTGAAAAAGTTGCAGAGGCACCCTCGTAGTTCCAGGGATATTTGCCGTCATTGTAGGGCATCTCGGCAACCATGTCAGGAGGAGCAGGATCGGTCTCGGCCGGAGTAGACCAGATGGCACCTCGGTACCAGTTCATCTGGCGGGAGGTGGACCAGGTCAGGTTCTCTGGGTTGGAACCAATGCCGCAGTCAGCCAGGACCAGATTCTGGTCAGCATTGGTGTGAGCGAGGCGGTGTAAATTGAAATGATTCAGGGAAGACATGGCCGTAAAGGCCTTGAGAGTGCGTGAGAAAGTCATCTTGTCGAGGGAGGAGAACCAAGGTAAAGACGGACAATAGGACAGAACCAAAAAAGCGAGGGTTGGAATTTCGAGGTGATGAGGTTTCGGTCCAAAGATTTGTGGTGCTGCTGAGGTGTTGAAGAAGGGATGGAGAGAAGAAGAGAAGATGGAAGAGAACGATGACAGACGTAAAATCAGGCATAGAAACTATCCACCAGGTTAGCTTGAATACGGAAGGAGAGCATGATGAGTTGAAACTGATTCTTTCCGTCTATCAATGTGTGAGACTTGGAAGTTCCTGCCTAGGAAAGAGAAGGGCACAAGTCCCTGGTAATGGACCACGTTAGATCGAGTGGTGACTTCCCTCAGAAACTAAAATCACAGGGTGGGGAGTAAGGTAAGAAGGCAAGAGGCCATAGCTTCATCAGAGAAGGAATGATGCCGCTACACTTGACTCCCTCCTGCCACTATGGGGACAGTCTGCACATGGTGATGCTTCACACGGACATGGCAACGCCCGAAGCCATGATGACACTGCCAGAAGCTCGACCTCTCCTATCAGAAGGAAGAAAAGATTTAGAAAAAAAGAGCTATGTCGCCAGCAATGGCGCCTTCCATGGGTTATTTTCGGAAGAGTCGAGGCCGACAACTGCCAGTTCCGTCACTTCCATCCTCATCTGAAAGCTCCCACGGTGATCGGCCGTGCAGCTCATCAGGCAGAAGGTGACATTCGGGATGGCCCTTTCGCTTCGAAGCTGGAGACGGCGTGTGCATCGCATGCACTCTCAAACGATTCCTTAAAGCTTCCGTGACACGTGGAATGCCGGGTAGTGCCTCGTTGGACCACAGTCGAGCCATGAGATGACATTCGCGGTTGGAGCTTAAACAGGGATGGACCTTGGTGACTGGGCGATCCCTCTTTCAAGCTGCCAAGTGCTGTCGACGGAGGCCAGATCTTCAAGGCATTGAACAGGGTGGCAATGATAAACCACATCGTTTCTGAGCCGTGGTTGTAAGAGCTCCATGCAACATGAGCTGTCAGAGTTATTCTTTATTCCGTCGTATTAGGCAGATGTGTGAATCGGAAGTTAACAATCAAACAGTCCGAGGTGTAGTGGTCGAAGAAGATGCACAGTCAGCAAACGTTGATGTCCAATGAAACAGGGCAGAGTGCCGGAGATCAGCCACCATCACCACACAGACTCCGCTGAAGCGGTCCGGGGGATGTTACCCAAGCACCGAAGACACCCCCGGGCAAGGCCCAATGGACCCCAAAGACCCCTAAAAATAAAGCCAAGCCGCATTGGGGGTGGGGCGACCTGCACCTTGTACGCCGTACCCTACAGGGAAGGGAGCAAATAGTTCGTTGCCTGGACTTGTTGTATCTGTAGCTCCCCGCTCCATTCCTCTTTCATCACACGCATCCTCGACCAGACAGACAGAGACAGCGCCCACGCCCATGCAGCTCAGCCGCACTGCAGCTCAATCTAGTCTAGCCACCTATTCGCACCTCTCGACCACCGTTTATTACCTTGCCCAGGTGCTATGCCATCGAAGCCATGTCGCAGAAAAACAACGCCTGGCGCCACGTTCGCTCCCCTCCTCTCCTTTCTCTCTCTCTTTCCGCGACGATGTCGTGTCGCCATCGCGGACGACCTTGACGCGGCCATGAACCTTCGTCCTCCTATTTGACGACTGGCTCATCGAACCGCTACTCTGATCACCCAACAACAACGGCATCCCCGCAGTAGGGCCACTATCAAATACTCCGAGCATCGGACTTCGCCCGTCCGACACCACACCCACAGTGCTGTTGGTGTGCCTGCCAATCAAATTGCGACCCTGCCCGAAGTCCTACGAAGGGAACCCCTCCAGATTCTCGAGGCTCTGCGATTCCACATCTCCCCAAAGCGAGAACGCTCGCCGCCTCGGGCATCATGGCGGCCCTCCCCTCCGGTTGGGAATGGGACTACGATGGCTCCCGCTGGTTCTATCGCTACAAGCCCAACGGCCATGTCCAATTCCACTTCCCGAAAGAGGGCGACGAGTTCCCAGACTTCGTTGACTGCTTTTCACCAGCACCCGAGCTTGCCCCCGAGGAGAAGCTCGAGAGCCAGCAACAGCTCAAAAGACGAACTACGGCCGATGCCAATCCCACATCCAAAATGCGCGCTACTGGCGGGCCCATGTCCGACTTTGGTATGAGTCGAAGTGGTTTTGGAGGGCCCATGGGCAACGACGACGATGATAGCGACGGCTTCTTCTTCCAACCCGAGAACTTCATGTATCTCGGTCCCGGTACCTACGACGACATCAGTCCGGAAGCTGACGAGGACGAGCGCGAGGAGGTATCGGGCAGGCCAGGCGTTGGTGAAAGCGGTGAAGGCAGCAGTAACAAGAATCATGCGATGCTCGATGTGGCCAGTGTGAAGTCGGGCGTGTCGCCGCTGCAAAGCGAGACCAATACACCCTCCATGATCAACAGTGTCCCTGCGCGAGGGGCTGAAGCTGTGTCTGAGGCACCGACAGAGATGGCCACCACGGAGCAGCCTCTTAATGTCAACGCTAACACCGGTCCGGATCCCAGCCAGGCCCTTCCACCCTCTCCTGGTGTTCCGCTCCTCGACTCAGTTGAAAAGCCTCGGCTAGGATTCTCGGCCAATGTCTATAGTCCGCCATGGGACCCAGTGGGAACCATGGCCGAAATGGCAACGGAGCACACGGCGCCAGCTCACATCGAAACTCACCCTGACCCGGTTGAGATGGCTGACACTGCGGTTTTGGCTCCTATCGAGACAAATTTCGCCGACCTCGGTATTGCTGAACTGCCAGAGCGGACGAGTCCGTCGGAGGCAAAGCCGCCGCAAGCCCAGTCTACTCATGATTTGCTGCACCAGACGAACATGAGCGATGCAGCCCTCTATGGCGCAACTTTTGGAACCGGATCTAGGCCTCAAAATTCGTCACCCTCTCGGAAATCTACAGCATCTCAGGAACCTCGACGCGATTCAGGTAAAGGGATCACGACTCCTGATCACTCTCTGCCAGAGGTGGTGCCTCCGCCGGCGCCGCGACCAACGCAAAGCCCCTCACCAACCCCGAGCGGAAGTGGTCCTTTTAATATCAAAAGAAAGCCTTCCAAATCGGCGGGCAAGCAGACTCAATACCAGCCCTATGTACCTGGGGCAGTCAGTAGCATAGCATCAGAGCAGTCGAGCACGACTGACTACAAACGCCGAGAACATCGTGATTCCCTTGCTCGCGATGGATCCCTAATGATGGGACCACGAAACAAGTTCGACCAGACAAGCATGCCCTCTGTTCTCAAGCCTCCTCAGCTGCCGCCCAAAGTTCCCATCGATTCGCCTCAAGCCCCAAGCCCTCCCGCCAATGATCAAAGAGCCCCAAACATAGCCAGTCCAGCCTCAGGTCTCGCCGCACAGGGGCCTTTGCAACACTTCCCATCAGTGCTGAAGCCAGCAAGAGGACAGCCACAAAACAGAGCACAGGAGCCGTCGCCTCCGCAGTCAGCGTCTACCGATAGCTCAAGCAAGAAACGGACGGGGAAGGAGACGCAATACGCGGCATTCCAACCAGGTCCCGCAAGCCAGACGGGATCTCAACCGTCTCATCAAGATAACACTCAAGCTTTTGACAAGTCCGCCACAATTTCGCAGTCATCTTACGGTCATCATGGTTCAGAGGTTCAACGACCCGAGACGAGGCCTATTCAGTCATCACAAGATCAGTATCGAATGGTTAGCCAAAGTGATCGGTCTCCTGCAACAAATACCCCACCTACACCGGCCTTCCTACAGCGTCCGAGAGCCCAGAGTGATATTCGCCAACAACCAGTTACCAGTGCTCAACACCGAACGTCAATAGACTACCCTTCCGATAATACGCAAAGACATGGTTATACCACGGACGGGGGACGACCTCGACAGACATCATATGCTTCAAGCGAGGTCTCGTCTCTCGGGCCTCCAACTGGCAGCCAGTCATCGGTTCCCCTTCAAACTCCGTCGCCGTTAGAGAGTGACGGAAGACGCCATTCTTCCGGCTTCTTCCATGGCGCAAACTCAAACTCTTACTCCTCGCAGTCCGGTGCTGGGTTCGGTACCGCAGGCATGAGGACATCGTCAACTTCTGGTCCCTCTGCTGCATCGACGGCAATAGAGAATGCTAGACAAGCCTACAAACCCGTAGAGAGTCAAGCCCCTCCAGCTCGACCAGGGAAGGTTCCAGTATCGTCGGCGGCCACGGCTCATCATGACCAAGTCATGGAGTCTCAGGCTTCTGACGAGACTTACACTCCTTCGTCGAATCGCCGTCAATCTCTGCCGCCTGGTAGCATGACGAGCCAAATAGCGCTGCCAGTGTCTAAGCAATCCCAGCCAGAAAGATATGAGTTGTCAGATGAGAGTCAAGGCCAAACACGGCCTCATTTTGAGTCGGTGCATTGGGAGACAAGCGGCACTAGTGCTGCTGAGGCTGCTCATGGCATTTCAAGGCCGTATTCGGTACATCCCATGAGCATGCAGTCAGGACAATCTAGTGGCCCAACCTCAGTAGCCAAGCCCGTATTCACATCACAACCACCATACCCAACCGAGGAACATCGCCAACCTGTAACGTTGGCAAATCGCCCGCCCCGTCCTACGGTGACTCTTCCTTCCCAACAAGCTCTTGGCCCAATGAGTCCTTCCACGCCTATAAGATCTCCCGGTCATCTACTCCACCCTATTCACGAGCACAATGAAATTGACCATGTGATGACCTCTGCTTCTACTACTTCGGGGGGACGGAATTCTCCAGATACCCGAGGGTATCCTTCTGAATCGAGTTTCGCTCCTCGTCCAGCCTTCCACTCAGTGGCGAGTAACCCTCCACAGCACCACTCTATAGTCAACGTTGCAGGTCTACCTCAGTCAAATGCACTGCGACCCGGATCAACCCCGCCTGTCATGCAACATTCGGCAAACGGAAAGGAAAAGGGAGGCTGGCTATCCAAGTTCAAGAAAGGAGGCTCTAGCAAGTCCGGCGTCCTTCAAAAGGCGCCGCCGCCGCCGCCACAAGGTACCCCGATACCTCAACAGCCGCTGCAAACCGCACCTCCACCACCAGCTCTGATGTCAGGAAACCCTATGGCTGCCGGCGTACCGATAGATCAGAGGGTAAGCCAACAAGCAATACCAGCCATGCCTGGACAACCAAGCAATATTCCCGACGCCCAATATACACCATTTTTCCCGTCAAGCAAGCCAGATTCTTCAGTTAACCAGGCCTTCGCTCCAAACACTAGCAGTCTTCAGCAACCGCCAATTCGCCAGAATTTCCCGGTGCAGAGCAATACGTCTCTCGCTACAGGACCAATGTCTCGGCCCCCCTCTCAAGCTCAGGAGCAATATTCAACCGGAGAACAGATCCAGCAACGTTCATCCAGCGTGCCACCCGGAAGCTTGGTACTACCTTCAGGGTCACCAATGGACCCGATGGATAATCTTTCGGACGCTGCTTCTGTTTCGACCATGGACGTATCTGAAGCTCAAGCACAGCCGGTACTAAGGCCGCAGCTTGTCACAGTCGAGCGGCATGCTGTTCAGCCAAATCCAGAGCAACGCGTACCTCAGAATGTCGGCCACACCACCCAATCGGCCCGGCCAACTGCTGAGGGGCGTCCTCTTGATGTCAAGACGCTTGCAGACAGCGAATTGACTGTCCCGCCTCTGTTCTCAACATCTCAACCAAAGGCTACCGTCAGCGCCGCTCCTGTAGATCAAGGGCCCGGTGCTCAGAATAAGTGGGCGAAGAAAGCTGCTGTGGACTACTCTGGGGATGACTGGGGCGATGATCCGTGGGACTATCAGTAGACACGTAAATAAGATTCAGCCATGCTATTACGGGTGGCTTATATCGACTACCGTAGTCTTCTCCGACTGACAATACCTAGATGTAAGCAGTTTGTAGATACCCATCGTGTTGGTCCGTAGTCTTTGAGTCAATCCATAATCATCACCCTGACCTGTGGTTCACAATTTGGCTATCTAAATTTGGTATCAGCCCTCCTCCCAAATCTTCCAACGCCTCCCCGGCGCAAACTCAATGTGTGCCGTCATAGTGACCTGGGGCATCGTCCTCATCGGCGCAGGATTTGCCCACTCCTTGGTGCCCATGGTGGCCATGCGCGTCCCAAGACCTTGACGTGAAGATACTTGAAATGAACAGCGCCAACAGCACAGTACACCCCAAAAAGGTAACCACAAACGCCATCATCTTTGCGGCATATGATATCAGCAATGTCACTGAGCCCCAATTTTTCCAAGCCTTTCAAGCGCTTTTTTGCCCGCTCGGCCGGGGTGCTATGCTGGTCTTGTGCGTCCTGAGCATCTTCACGATGGGACTGTACATGCTGTAATACTGTGGGAGGGAGAACTGGAGGATAATGCGACTCGATGCTGCGAGGAGGGATGGCTGAGTATAGCTGCACACGGACTATCAGGACCTGACGAACCGTGAGAACCCGCATTTCCGGTATTATGTTCGGTATAAACAAACCGAGTATGGGTGCAAACGAAAATTGGTGAACTCACACGATGCTTTGTTGGCTTAAATCACCAGTTATGCAATACTATTCAATTACAAAGCGTCCCCAAAGACTTTGTCTGGCTGTCTGAACTTCCCTCCTTGATGGAAATATCGCCTTTGTTTAGTCACCAACGAGGTAAAGCTCTCGACCATTGTCCCAAGTCGAGAGCAACAATGGGTCTTTGTGATTTCAATGGGATTGTCTTGGGGGCTGCCAGCTTTGACTTCAACGCTGTTGATACACTCTGAAAGCCTCCCCGCCCATCATTGGGAGAATACATATTTCGGCTTCATCCTGTCTAGCTTCGATTTCATTACACAACCATCATTATCACAACAAAGCGGATCACCAACAGCTCAGCAACAGACAAAGTTCAGTATATACCCCAATTCCGCTACCCGATTCAAGCAACATAACCACATACTTGGTATCTACTAAGTTGACTACAGCAATGGCCCCACCGTTCCTTAGCCGTCCCGAGATTCAACACCTCGTTGGAAACTTTTTGATCGATTTCTACAACCGCGAGGACGTCGAGAATTGGGAAGATGTGCAAAGAGCCACTATCGATGCTATGGGAGACATCATCGTGCAGCTTGCTCGGGGGCAAGCGCAGGCGCAAGCAGGAGGTACCAATACCTCTCCGGAACCGATGGACTTAGACGATGGTGAGGCTGTACAACCTGAAGGACCAGATTCAGATGACACTTCAGATCCAGATAACTTTGTGAGAGACGACATCCCTCCCCAGGCGCTCAATAACGCTTCCGGCTCCCGAGACAAGCCCGATTCAGGCTCGGAGTCTGAGGAGTCTTCGTCGAAGAATCCCCGCAGCGGTAGAGGAGAAATCAAGACTAAGAATACCCCACGGAAGAACACCAAGGTAAAGTCTGACCGTGTTGCAAGCCTTGAACAACGCAAGACGAACCGATGTGTGTTGGAGTGTGACTTGGGCTACACGACGACGGATCGTCTCAAGAGAGTAAGTTGATTTTCGATTCCCCTTGATTTCAAATACATGTGCTCTCCGAGGACAAACCAGCTAACAAAGTGATAGCATTACAAATCTCACCACCCTGGCTGGGAGGACGCAGTTGTGGCTGCTGGCCAGACCATCTTTGCTAATCAGCGCAGCTACACGAGGCGAGACACATGAGAGGGGGCATGGTTTTCCAATGTGAGGGGTATGTTGTGTGCATGATTTTGCTGATGAGAGTACAGAAAAGGGTCTTTTAGTTTTTGTCTGAATTTTATTTTCAAGTTTCAGGTAATGGCAATTGATGCGAGGAGAAATATCATGATACCCAAGCCGGACAGTGTGAGTCAAGATTGAATTAGGGGTAGTTGGCTAGTCGATATGTCAGAAAACCCCATCAAACTCGCTCTTCGATCCTAGTTCTTAACTTTCCTCGCGTAGATAAAAGATCGACGATCCGTCAGACTTTGTTTGCTATGTGACCTTCTCTTAACCTCGCCGGCAACCCGGCGTTGCGGTCGCGCCAAGGCATGTCCCGCAAGGGGGCTACCGCACCACTCAGGTGAGTGCGCGTAAATTGTCCCTATCATTGACAGCTTCCTAGACACATTCTCACTTGAGTAAACGCCTTCGACAAGGGGCCAGTGTGACAAGGTGATGTTGGACCATTCAGACGTCTGATAGCTACGGAGAATTTCATGGGTGACGGCAGCGTCTATTCGTCCACGCCATCCCGCCGGCCCATTGAAACAGACCGTCAAAGTTCAAGGGATGTCCCGCTAGCTTGCCTGATGACAGGACCACCGGTTCATCTTAGACTCGGGGGCTAATGGGCTTGGCCCACTTTCAAACGTCAAGTCGGCGTTCGGCAGTCAAAGTTGATGTCGGACTCCTGCCGGCAGCATGGCGACATGGGAGTATAAGGTGATCAACACGCCGGCTTTATAGGAAATGTCACTGCAATGCGTTGTTCTTCCATCTTCCGTGGGTCGTAACAACTCAGTCCATTCTTTTCTAGCACTTTGGCAAATCTGCCTTTCCGTTCCTTATTTCATTCCTCGCCCAATATGCGGTGCTCAACTTTCCTCGCCCTGGCTGCGTCAGTCTCCGGCGTGTCCGCTCATTACTTCTTCCCCCACCTCATCGTCAACGGCAACTTCACCGGCTATAACGAATACGTCCGCGACAACAGCGCGGGCTACATGCCCTTCAAGAACGGCTACGGCAGCACCGACCTCCGTTGCCGGACCGGCTCGATGGAGCACGCCGCCACCACGGGTGTCTACCAGGTCAAGGCGGGCGACGAAGTGGGCTTCGGCCTCAACTTTGGCGGCATGATTCAGCACCCGGGTCCCATGCAGGCCTACCTCTCCAGAGCACCGGGCGACGTGCGCGAGTACGACGGCTCCGGTGACTGGTTCAAGATTTATGAGCTCGGGCCAAAGTCCTTTTCCAGCGAGGGTATCGAATGGGGCGTCACCAATGTTGGGAATTTTACGTTCAAGTTGCCCGAGGAGACGCCTGCTGGGCAGTACCTTTTGCGAATCGAGCACATTGGCGTTCACGGAGCCGGTGACTTTGGTGGTGCCGAGTTCTACTTCAACTGCGCGCAGATCGAAGTTGAGAGCGACAGTACCGCCGTTCCCGGCCCGACTGTCAAGATTCCAGGATTGTATGACGGCCATGAGCCCGGTATCGAGTTCTACATGTATCGTCCGTGGATCGTCAATTTCACGATGCCGGGGCCGGCTAGATGGCCCCAAGCTCTCGTGGAGAACGTTACCGCAGAGGGTGTTAGCGTGGCTCCGACAGCCACCCCTTGGACACTCCCGGCAGTCACGTCCACAGTTGGGGGACAGGACATTTCGTCCTCAGCGGCGGTAGTCGTGCCCACAAGCCTTGCCTCCGCGGCAGTGCCTTCTGCCAACACGACGTACTCGTACGCATCTACGACTGCGGTTGGCGCAAGTGGATCAGCGGCCCCGAAGAGCGAGATCAGCGAGTTGGTGGTGTCAACCGTCAGCTCAGCCGCGACTTTGAGTGCAACGGCTGTACCTTTCACCACCACTTCCAAGAAGTCTCGATGCCCACCACGAAGCACAGTGATCAGCACGGTTTACGTTACTGCAAGCGCTTGATCCCATCTCAGAGAGTTGAATTTCTTCATCTGCTCTTTATGTCTATGATGACACATGAGCCATGCGATGCTGGGAGTTGCAAAAGACAAAGTACCCTCTGCAGCCTAGTTGCCGCGCTACCGGACGTAGACACTGGACGTCAATGATGTGCCTGGGCTCGCTGCAAAGGCCTTGAAGACCAAAGCTCGAAAATGTGCTACAATTCGTTTCATTTCCACTTCTGAATGTATTATTATACTTTTTTCCATCAAAAATCAAGCCCTTACTAAGAGACCTAGATGCCACTGATAAGCAGTAGAACGACCCTACCTGACATTTGTAATTTTAGTGACATATTGCAGAAGCCTCTCACATTATGAAGTACCTTAAGGTAGTTAGCAAAGACGCATGGCCTCGTAACGCAACTTTTCAATACTTCTTTGGAAGCCATCGACCTGCCATGCTTTTCGGAAACGTCGTGCTTCATCATCCTGTTGATTGTCCTTTTTGTTCATTGTATCTACGTCTCTCAAAAGAATGTCTCCTGGGCCTCAAGACTTGCAAAACGGGAACATATCTCTACCGACCAGGATACGCCAGAAACAATAACCGCGACTGCCTAGCATACGTTGTCGCCCCTTGCTCATCCTCCATGACTCCTGATCCTGCCTCAGTATGACTTTCTCCACCAGTTTACAGGGAATGAATTATCGAACCCTGACTGTTGCGGGTTGGCTAATATATGTGTGTTAGGCAGCTTACTAATTGTTATCTCACAGTCCTTGACATGGTTTGTTTTCAAGATCCTATCCCCTTAAGTCCTAGGAGACCTTAGTACATCTGTCTTTAGTCTTTGTCGACCTGTCACTTCATTTGTAAACTATTCATGGATGAATATACGGAGGAAAGGCTCGGATAAGCGTGAACTGCGATAACTACGGAAGACAACCCGACGACAACATAATAAGAATGGCCGGAATTCAGTGAAAGTCTGCAACAAAGACTACTCATTGTTAATTAAGAATAGGACATCTGTCAAGCCACTGGAAGTCATCCCAATGCCAGTTTCGGGACCAAGTATGGGCTGAGAAGGGCGATGTTAACTTTACCTCTGAATCAAGTTCTCAGCGCGTGCACCTTCGTACTATTCTCTTCTTCTCAATCGCCTACACGGTTGTCTATACGGTTGACTGCGTGTTAAAATACCGATCACGTCAGAGCATTGGCGGACTTTGAGAAGAAAAGGTTCTAGATATGTTTACTGAATTTAGACTGAGAACGGTCGACCCTTTCCTATGAGAATACATCCAACATTAATACAGTTGTAGTCCTTAAGTATTGTTAAGGAAATTGTTCAACCATGGGTTCTGTCGAGGAGCAGAAAGAAAACCCCAAGCGTGTCTGCGTCCCAGTCAAGGCTTAGCTCCATATCAGCCATTTGTAAGTGTGTTTCGTCGAGTCCAATATTCAATGGTCCTCCTCCAAGCTTGCGGAATAACGAATCTAGCAGCTCTGTTGCTCTTTTTGCTTCGGGGGACCACTTGCTCCAACGAGACCATGTTTGGTAACTTCGTCTCAGCATCATCTCGACCTCTGGGCTCTTGGTTGCGCATCCGTTCTCACCATCTAGTGGAACGCGCGGGCAATGGTACAGGTATATGCTCAAGGCCGCGGTTGCGACAAGACCCTCATGGATCACCAGGGCGGATACTTTGGTTCTCAACGTCATCAGCATGCCGCCCGGTTGTGATTCGATATCTAGAAAAACCAACTGCTTGTTTATTTCAAGAGCTGCCTCAAGGCACATATGGCCTGCAGACGACACCCAGTCCTCGTGAACCGCCCTGGGTTTACTGGCAAACTTCCGTAGTTGACGCTGGTAAAGGATGATTCGAGACTTATTGTAAAGAGAATTAATGATGATCCGATGGGCTAGACTAACTGGATTATCTGACAGACAGTGGGATAGCGAGGTGAATTTGAAACTTTCTGGCATTGACACCCATGTTGTCTCGAGTCGACTTTCAGTATTTCGCACATCCTCTGAAGATTCCAGCTTGTTCGTCAAGCTCAGATCAACTAGCCTCCCCGTGGCAAGGCTCATTTTGTATCTCGCGAGTAGAAAAGAGAGACTTCAGTCATCTCGTTGTCTGCGCGAGGCCCTGCCAATTGGGCGCAGCCATGGTCGAGGTCAGCGTCGGAAATGGTACCAGGTGGTCGCGTGTTCCACGTGCCATCTGAGATGATCCGCGGCGCGCCGACGAGCATGGCCATGGTGCTGTCGAAAATGTGTACGGTAGCCCAAGCTCTGCAACGATTCTCGCCTTCAAAAGGGCTGATGTGCGGGAAGTATGATGGATCCCGGTGGTATCCCATGCGAAATGCAAGCTGAGCTATGATGCCGGCCACCATCCAATTGCCAACCTCAGTGACGGGCTTAAGGTAGAACTCGGCCCACCGGGGAGTAATGAATGAGGCATTCTAGAATGTACGGTCCTGGACGAATGTAGTCCGCAGCAACAAGGCATCGAACCAATTGTTGCAGGTACGTCTGCTGTGGGTGAGACTGTCTATGTTCGAGTCCCAGGGAGAATAGGTCTGAAAGGCTCAGTACTCCGTAAAGGAGACCCAACCAAGAGAAGGAGACTGCAGTCTGACTGGTCCAAAATTCTTCGCACTGTAAGACCTCGTCAGTTTGAAAGTGCGCCTTCATTCACACACCACAACAGATCACTGACTTGCTTAAGAAAAGTTGACGGTTGTACCACGCGTGCTGTCAAGATATGAGCTCTTAGACAAAATTACACCCATCTCCCTAAGGCGGATTTCTTACCCGGCAGAATAGAGATTCCGCTGAAGTATTGGAAGATGAGACGATCTACTATATCCCGATCCGGCAAAGCCGAAATCAATGCCTCCTTCGATACTGGCTGCATGGATCCGTACAGCAGGAGTGGAGTGGTGCTCATGGCTCTAGACGACACGTCCGTAATTTCAATCAAATCTTCTCCTTCGTAAGCTTTTCTGAAGTCGGTTTTTAGATCAGAAATCTCGTCCGTCATGGTTTCCCAGTGCGGACTAGCGAAATACGTGGTCCCTTGTGAGTCGACATACATCTTGCCTGGCTCAGTGGATGCCACCGGCTGGGCAGGTGATGAGGTGTTGCACGGCGAAGCTAGGTCTTGAGCATCGTTAGCTTGCTCTACAGTCGTAGATCTCATGTTTGAAAGTACTATATCTTCAATGCGCTTTAGTCTGAGTTCAAGACTGGTATCAAGCTGTGGTTGGGTTCGCGGAGGGGCTGGAACCATTGGGCTTCTCGTATCGCTTGGATACAAGCATGATGAGCCAATGGCCCGAACAGTGCATGCACCACACGGCTGGCGCCTGTCACATCGTAATCTTGAGTCGACTAGCAGCTGATGAGGAGAATGGAGAAATAAAGGCATCTGATGCCGTACTTTCTTTGTCGGCAGAAGCCGCACGATAGTTGCTTTCTATCTCTTCGCCGATGCGATATCGGACTCCTTAGTGAGCCCGATGCCCTTGTGTCCTCTGCCGGAAAAATGGAAGACATTACTGAGGCTATTTGAGTCGCAGTCAACTGCTTTTGGCAGTCTGGTTTATGGAGCAAACCAATTTGTGTCGTGGGAGGATTGCCGGCAAGGGAACATCTCCGATTGAGATTTGTTCAGTCACCTCCGTCCAATGTCCGCTTCTTCCCCTCCACATGGAGGCCCGCGCCCCTCGTAAAAAAGAGAGAAGTTTAATTAACAAAATCGTTTCTAGCTCTATTCTTCTTATATTTGTTACTATTCATACTTTTCCTCTTTGTATTATTCTTGTTATCTTTCCTATCCCTATAACCCCTTCTTACCTTTTTTTATATACCATAGATGGAATACTCTCTAAAGAAGAAAAACATTTAAGTAGACGGCGGCAACCTATTTTGTCACTTACTTGCCTGGCTGACCGTTGATACCATAATGTAGCCAGCTTGCGTGCCAATCCCATCTAGAACTAATTGATTTTACAAGTCACTCGAAAACGAATAAGTATTTACTAAACATGCATTCGCATGGTTGACAGGTAAGCCAGTCCTTGCATCCGTGTGGCTATGAGTCGACATCTGTGGCAGGTCTACCAACAGCGGCACTTCAACTTGACGCCGAGTGGAGAAAGACAATATACTGGGCAATTGGCAGAAATGTCAATGGAACGGTGGGTGCTCCCACGTTTAATAATTTCAGAAATGCATGAGGTTCAATTTATGTACAACTTATAAATGATTAGGTCCCATCATTGCACCCGCGGAAGTAGATAGTCAAAGACCGCCTGGTTGAGCCTAGTGAGGGACCCCATATAGCAGTGCGAGGTTGCCCCTTCTTCCGCCGTAAACTGCTCAAATTCTTTCTCGCCGCGTAACTTGCCAAACAAGTCTTTTGGCTGTCCTTTCAAGAAACGATCTTCAATCGCATCCAGAACTAGTAATGGAGTATGGATGTTGTCCACGAGCCCCTCCAGTCTATACTCACTCACACAGCGCAGCACCTCTACTGAACACTTAGCGCCGAAAGCCCACATTCCATTCAAAATCGCCCATTTGAAGCCCGTATCCCAGCGCATCATCTGGAACATTAGAGCAATCATCGTAGCGTCCCAGCCATTACGGAGCAGGAATCTGCCAAGGCCAGGGTTCTGGGAATGAAATGCAGCGCCAAAGTCGTAAACCCCGTCATTGACGATAGCGGCCGCGCATCGATGCTCGAAACATAGAGCTCTTCCGACAAGGTAGCCACCCATACTGATGCCCATAAGGAACACCTTGTTTGCGATGACTGTGGGCTGGCCAAGAGCATAGTCGACAACCGCAGTGAATACAGTCTCCCAGTCGTTTCTGAAAAAGAGGCGCTGCTCTCTCAGAGCTTCGCCTTGTCCCGGGCCATCGAAGAGAATAATGTTGAAGCCTTCTTCAAGTGCCGCCTGGCCATTCATGTAGAATATCTCTTCCCTGGTGGAGTCGAAGCCACCATCACAAATGATCGTGAGCCTCGATTTGTCGCTTTTGACAGGCTGCATCATCGTTCCCGGAAGAGTAGTCCCTTCAAAGAGGATTTGAATCCTTTTGGTCTTGTACGGCATGAGATCGGCTGCAGAATAAAATGTCTCGGTACTTAAACCGATGAGCTTCTTGGATAGGTCGTCTTCGAAAACGTTGTCTCGCCGGTAGAAATCGGCCGTGCGGTAATAATTCGAAGCGCGTAAAAAGGCATGCTACGCACCACGTCGATTGTTCTTCGTCAAGCTCGCTTTCGCGGCTTGGACGGCGCGGTCTTCAGCCGATTGCCATTCTCTAAGCCAGATTTCTTCGTCGCCGGGGGGAATGCGAGAGCACACTGAGATGACTTCGGCTAGCTCTGCCCCACCACAGTGAGTGTAGCTTGCGGCTCGAAGAGCTTCATAGGCGAAAGACTCATTGTTGGGGAAAAAGTGCTTATGAAGAGTTGCCATTGAGACTAGTGATAAACCATGAGATTTGTGTTGCTAGTGGCATATTCCTTACTTCATTTCTTCCAATTTTCACGCCTTTTGTCAAGAGCACTTTTATAGCACTTTTCGCAATCTATCAAGTGGCTGGTCCAAGGTCTGGTTGGTGTAATGCCCGTTACATCTCCGTCGCAATTCCCGGTGTTACCTCCGTCTCCGCCTCCGCTTTAGTGCCTCCGTTGCCGGCCATTGCGTATGAGAACCGACACCGATCTAGGGTGACATACATGACGTAGCTTAGTAATTCGATATTGTAACTGGCGGAAATATGCCCGGAGCAACGGAGTAATGATTGCGAACTCACATCTTGAGAAGATTGCGGCACACTGCCGCGTTGCAACTCAGTAAGCTGCGCACTATCACGGTTCAATCGCCGAGAAGTATACGGAAGCCGTCGCGAACTCTAGATACAGTTCCTATACGAATTATATGGAAGGCCCTGCTTCAGCGCCTTAAGCCAAGATTATGACACGCGCCGAAGGTCAATTTCTGGTAGATTGGGATGGTGGCGATAACGATCCGCTATGTCCAAGAAGCTACGGCAAGATGAGAAAGTGGCTAATCACCATGGTGGTTTCACAAATGGCGCTCTGCATGTAAGATCTATGGTCACTAGGAGTCCTAGGGGTCTGTGTCACTGCTAACACTTTACACCTGCAAAGCACATGTGCGAGTTCTATTTACACTTCAACATACACCAACTTGGAGGCCGAATTTCACAACTCGAGGATCGTATCGACTCTGGGGCTATCAACTTTTGTTCTCGGTTTGTCGCTAGGGCCGATGCTCTTCAGTCCTCTTAGCGAGTTTTATGGGCGGAGGCCGATCTACTTGATCTCGTCCACTTGCCACCTCCTTTTTCTGATCCCCCAAGCGACAGCAAGAAACATCACCACACTAGTTGTCCTTCGCTTCTTGGACGGTTTCTCAGGGAGTGCTTTCCAAGCTGTATCCGCTGGAACCGTCCGGGATTTGTTTTCAAACGACGAATTGCAGGCGCCTATGCTCTTATTTTCCATCTGTCCATTCATTGGACCAAGCCTAGGACCCTTAGTCGGCGGATTTATTAACTATTATACCGGATGGCGTTGGACATTCTACGTCCTCATAATGTGGTCTTTTGTTCTAGAGCTGGGAATTGTCTTTCTTGTCCCCGAGACTTATCGTAAGATTGACAACCCCCTCCAAGAGCTCGCAACTGACATGTGTCATCAGATCCCACCCTCTTACGGAACAAGGCTCACAATCTTCGGAAAGAAACTGGGGATGAGCGTTGGAAAGCAGCTTCGGAGATGCATTCCAAATCAGTGCTCGGTGCAGTTGGGATTTCGTTACTGCGGCCTATTCAGCTCCTCATTTTCGAGCCAATGTGCCTTTCTCTCTGCCTCTTCTCGGCTTTGCTTCTTGGTATACTATACTTGTTCTTTGGAGCTTTCCCTCTTGTCTTCAGAGAGACTTATGCCTTCAACCTATATCAGGTTGGCTGCAGCTTTTTGGGTATCTTGGTTGGTATGCTCCTGGGTATTGCCACCGATCCGGTGTGGCATAAAGTCAGGACGAGACTCATTTTGAAGAACAAGGGCCAAGGCGAAAATGAGGATGGCAGCGAGCCTGAGTTCCGACTTCCACCCGCTATGTTCGGGTCTATTCTTGTTCCCGTGGGAATTTTCATGTTTGGTTGGTCCATGTATCCTTGGGTGCATTGGATAGTTCCCATTGTCGGTACAGCGATGTTCGGGGCCGGGTAAGTTTGAAGTTTTGGTTGATGCAGGCAATTGGTTGCACCAGATCAACAGCTTGGACTAACACAATATTTTCTCCCTAACAGAAACATCCTTCTTTTCACTGGTATCTGGACCTTTCTGGTGTGTATCTCAACCCGAGAAAGATTACCAAGACTATAGAATGTCACTGACAGAGCACAGGTGGAAGCTTATCCCAGATATGCTGCCAGTGCACTCGCTGCCAATTCTTTTGTCCGTTGCTTGGCGGCTGGTAAGTGTTTCCTGATGGACTACAGAGTCTTGAGACATGATAGAACTAATCCTTCACTAGCTGCGTTTCCGCTCTTTGGAACCCAGATGTATGTGAGGCTCGGGTTTCAATGGGCCTCGTCACTGCTGGGCTTCTTGGCTATTGGAATGATGGTGTTTCCTTACTTGTTCTTCCGATATGGAAAGGTTATCCGGGGCAAGAGCAAGTTTGCCGACGCGTCGAGCTCTCTGTAAAGAATTGCCAAGCATTTTCACAATTCATGACCTAGACATGTAACTATAGACGTCTAGGCTATTGGTTAAAGGCCATCTTCATGTAACCCGCCAAGAGGATAGTGCTGAAAGTTCATCTTTCGAAAGCCTCAGGCAATGATTACTCTGTTGAGGATAAGAGAAATTAAAGCTCGAAATACGTTCATTCCATTGATACTTCCGCCTGGTGTCTTCTCTAAGTGTACCATGTTGGCTCGGGAATCTCGCCCAGCAGCTGATATCTACCAAGCTCACGGTTCTTGTAAGACACAGGATCATGCAGACTGTGTGTCCTGATATCCCTCCAGAATCTGTCAAGGCCAACCTTGGTTCCGGTGGCTTTCGCGCCCGTCACCTCGAACACACCGGACGTAACCCGAAGTCCCGTATCAGTTGCCGTGACCTTGACACTAGCAACCCACTCTGCTGCTTCTCCTCGAGCCTTTGCAGTGACCTTAGCCCTAGTTGATGGATCCCCAGAGTACTTGTACAATGCATCAATCTCGAGACCCGCCTTGTCGGCAAGTGCATCGGCCGCACGGAGATGAGCAAGGAAGTTTCCATAGGTGGACAGGATATAGAACTCATCCTCGGCCTTCTCCTTATCCTGAAGTCCGCCATTAGCATTTCATGGGTATAATTGATTGGGGCTCTTCTAGCACTCACATCGCCGCCGAAGGGCCAGGCCCGTGTGTTTTTCCTAGTGTAGGCTGAGGCAAAATCCAACGCACCCCATGCAATACCGATGTAGAAGTTGCTGAAAACGAGTTGAATGCTGTTGCTAAAAGTTAGATTTTGCCATCAAAGTGTTTAGAATTGGATTCTTACGTGGGAAGAAGCAGACTTGCAAACGGGATCTTGAGAACTGAGTCATCTGGCTTTTTCTCGGCGGCATTCCATCCCAGTGCATCAGACCAGGGCGCAGTGACATTCTCAATCTTGACGCTTCCCGACTCACTCAGACGCAAGCCAACATTATCCCAGTTGTGAGAAAAGATGATTCCCGGCTGGTCAGTCTTCACCAACGCATACAGGTGGTCATCCGTACCCTCAAGGACACCTTCGAGAACAGTCAAGTCGGAGATAACTCCGCCTGTGTTGAAGTTCTTGAAGCCATTGAATATAACATTATCGCCGTCTGAAGTGATCTTGTGATCGCTATCGCGAGGGTTTACGGCACCACCGACAAAGTAGTTGTTAGAAATGATGAGATCCTGAGTCCGATCTGCCTGTTCTGAACTACCAATGACATTGGCCGTTGTTGACCAGAGTAAATGGTATCCCAGGAGCATGCCAATTGATCTATTCCGGTCTATCAGAAATTTAACTCTCAAAAGTTACTCGACCTTTGGCCAAACTCACCCGTCTCCCTTGGCAACCTCGCGAATCACCTTGTAACCGACACTCCAAGGCTGCTCACCACCGCCGTACTTCTTCCATCCTAGGACTTTGAGAAGACCAGAATACTTCAGCAGCGCAATCTCAGCTCTGGGTGACTTGTTCTCCCTCTCACGCTGCGCAGCGTCTACGGCTAGTACATCTGCAACATCTTTGGCTCTTTGAAGCCACGCAGCTTCATCCGTAGGGAGTAACGACCACTTCTGCTGGTACTCATCGTAGACTTTGGGGTCGGTTGCAGGAACCGAACGGGCGTTGCTACTCATTTTGAACGACCTTTGAGATTAGATTCTTGAGTTCTCCGAACAAATGATTGTTTTGTCGCTTGAATCTGGGGAAGGGATCAACGCGAGTGGGAAACCGCAACAGGCGAGAAACTGTTGACTGACGTGTAAGAGGACTGGATGAATATTGTCTCCCTTCTATCTTTGATGTCAAAATGCGCCAACATCTATCTAAATATGCTCAAAGACGCCCGCGCGTGTCGCCTCCGTAGTCTAACGGTTCGACGATAGCCGGCACTCCGTTCCGCCGTCGCCAGTGGCGCGAGGGTCCACAGCTATGTTGTGATATGTCGCAATCGCAACGACTTACGATGCGCGCATGGGTGTAGTTATCACCTCCGCATCTGGCCCCCAACCCCATACCGACAGATAACGAGGCATGCAGGGATAAGGTCACATTGGAGCTCAACTACCTTTGTCCAGGGACAATCGCCTGTTCAAAAGATTTTCGTGATCGAGCAGATATTCTATCTGATGTTGAAAGTATGAATGTTTCGGCAGCTGCTCTTACTTGTCGCAGAGAGTTCTCGAAAGAGGGGTCTGGTAGCATGAGGATGACACCATATACGCTATTCTGCAGCAATCGCGGCATATCTTCGCAGTGCACCAATCAGGCTTCATTGTACATGAACTTCATTCGATTGAGTTTCTGACTATGGGATGCTCTGAATCCTCGTGGTTAGTTGTCAATCTTTGTCACCTGCAACATCAATCCAGCCGGCCAAGGAAGATGGAGGACAGAGGATGTCATGTCCCGTTATTCTGTTTTCCTCTCCTGATAGATTGACTCTCTGCGATTTAAGGACTTGAATGGATACAAACAGCTGACACCTAGATCGGACCGTAGGATGAATAATATTAAGTTCTTTGAGGAGAGACACAAGTTTTGCGATTAGATAATGTCTAGCCCACATTCTATTCAATTCAGTCTCTATCACTTTGATACAATACCGGCTAGAATTAGTGTCCTCTTTCATCTACGCAAGCAACTTTCGCCCTTAATTCTCGAGAATCCAGCATAGCTCTGTGCCCAATGCATCAAGTCTATCAATAAATTGTACTGTTGCCTCAATTTGGCAAGCTATTCGGTCTTCTTGCGAGTCTTGGGGAAGTACTGAGAAGTATTACCCAGTGGTAACTCTACCAAAGAGTCTTTCAGCAAGAGGTGGAAGGTCAGGTACCTGAGTTGTTTTAGTTAAGCAAACTTGTTCTCAGAAACAGGTAGAGACCTACCATCCAACAAGCCCAGCGAGGAACGCGAAAACGCCACCGCTCTTCTTCAATCCAATCGAAGCGCTCTGATGGCCATCGGCAGCAGCAAAGTAGCTAGCAGCAACTAGGACGAAGCATAGCTCAACGAAGATGAAGATCAGGATGTAAACAATATTGGTCGGTATGGTAGCGACGAGGTAGGCGAGGACAAAAACACTCCAAACTGCGCAAAGGTTCTCACGTCAGTTCTAATATCCTAGTGCGACAATTGGCCGCATCACTAACTCATCATAAAAAGTCCGAGAGCATTGTTCAACTGCTTCGTGTCATCGCCATATGCTGCTGCGACCCCAAAAGAGGGAGTCAAGATGGCACCGTAACCTGCGTAAAAGAGGCCTGGAGGCAAATTGTCAATTGTTAGTCAGAACGGGCATTGAAAGCTATTCCACTCGAGCTTACCGAAAGCACTGAAGACACTGTAACCGAAGCCGTTTCCTCCTGTAAGCTCCCACTGCGCAGATATAACTAGGCCAAAGGCAGCTAGAAAAAAGAAGTTTGCAATATAGACATTAGTTGTTGTCACTCCTCGCCACTCCATTAGACTCAGGGAAAGCGTCGTCAAGGTTGTAGAGAAAGCTCCGATCGGAAGTGAGGTCTATAGGCATTTTGATCAGTAAACATGCTTGGAATGATCGCGAATTCGCGTAAAGTAGTACTCACTGCTGCTGTAGGAAGCGGCCTTGGGGCAGTGAATCGAGGCCCATGATTGACCGTCTCGAATCTCTCAAAGGTTGGCTCCGGCTTGACGGACTCGATACCTTTCTCGCTTGCCCCATTGGGGGCTGAAGAGTAGATGGACATTGTAGTTGGAGTAGGACAACAGACGAGACAAATTGAAAGTAAGACAACGTAGAGAGTCGCAGGCGCAGGTCTGTCTTTCGGATCCTTCTGCAGATAAATCAAAGAGAACTTAGCTACGAACCCGACGACATGGCCCTGGTCTCAGTGAGTTTCCCGAAAATTTACTCTATCCTTGCTCATCCGCAATGAGACCTCAGGAAGCTCAGACTCGTCTCAATCGATTGATTGAGATTAAAGTTCGCAGATCTTGGTTCAATCCCACATCGCGCCATGTTGGGGTGGATGCAGCCATCGAAGCGTGGGGAAACCCCAGTCAACTGGGATCTGGCGATCTCGTCATTGAGTTGATAATGGTGCAATTGACTCACTTGGAGAGGCCGGGTAAGCGGCAAAGCACATAGCCTTTGCCCTCAGCACCACATGATTCTTTGAGTGCCGTGACTGGCTCCGATTGTATCAATTTAAATCCCGGCATGCGTCGTAATGTGGTATTTGGAAATCACGTCAGAGCTAGGCATAGCTTCGCCAATGTGGTCAACCCGACGGAACTCCCTCCGCAGCGTCGATCTGGATATATCGCGCAGAACGCGCCAGCCGGTTCATAGCTACATCCCGGTAGATGCGGAATGATGGTTTGATATGAGCTAACCAGATTTCCTCTTCTGTCGATATTGGCATGTCACTGGCCTTGTTGTTAGGAGTTGAGTATCTGCCGTTCTTCTGTCCTCCGTCTCCGAAGTGTGCTTGAGAAACATCATTTTTTTTTTTTACTCAATCTGCTCCAGTCCTCCCGACCCAAAGTGCAAAGAGACGTTCATCGCTTCTCGCAATCACGATTGATTTGCCAAATTGGTAGCCACCGACCCTACGGTCTTCACATAGCCTCAGCGAAAATGGCCGCTCAACCACATCCCCTCAACAGCGACCCTGAGCGACTGCTTTTCGCGTATGTGTTCCTTTCCCAATGAGTCAATGGGTGCAGACAAATAGCTAACTTCACAGATACTGGGTACCCAATGTCTCAGGTGGCTTGATCATCAGCAAGATCCCGCAGAGGACAAACTGGGACCTGGCTAGCAATGTGAAGTACGCCAAGGCTGCGGAGCAAGCTGGTATTGAGTACGGCCTCACACAGATTCGCTTCACCTCTGGATACGGTGCTGCAAACCAACATGAGTCTGTGTCCTTCTCGCAGGCAATTCTCCAAGCAACAGACACAGTCAAGGTTATTGCTGCTATTCTCCCCGGGCCCTGGAACCCCACGACAGTGGCGAAGCAGATCGCCAGCATCGACCACTACAGCAATGGCCGTATTGCCGTAAATATCGTGAGCGGTTGGTTCAAGGGGGAGTTTACAGCGATTGGCGAGTGGTGGCTGGAGCACGCTGAGCGCTACCGTCGCAGCAATGAGTTCATCCGCTGTCTTAAAGGCATCTGGACCGCACCTGAGGACACGGGCTTCACCTTCGGCGGCGACTTTTACCGCTACAGAAATTATGTACTCAACCCTAAGCCAGTCCAGAAGCCTCATCCCGAGATCTTCCAGGGCGGAAACAGCGACGACGCGAGGAACAATGGCGCCGAGGTCAGTGACTGGTACTTCATGAACGGTAACGACCTCGACGGTTTCCGTAATCAGATTGCGGACGTCAAGGCCCGCGCGGCAAAGGTTGGCCGCGAGGACCAGGTGCGCTTTGCGGTGAATGGCTTCGTCATCGTTCGCGAAACCGAAGAAGAGGCCGTTCGCGTGTTGCAGGAAATCCAGGGCAAGGCGGACAAGGAGGCCGTCGAGGCGTTCAGGGCCTCTGTTCAAGAAGCTGGGGCCAGCACCTCAAACAAGAAGGGCATGTGGGCCGATAGCAAGTTCGACGACTTGGTGCAGTACAATGATGGCTTCAAGACAAAGCTTATTGGTACTAAGGAACAAGTTGCTGAGCGGCTCGTTCTGTTGAAGAGCTTGGGTGTTAACCTAGTGCTCACTGCCTTCTTACACTACGATGAAGAGATTGAGCAATTCGGACGGGAGGTTTTGCCTTTGGTGAGGCAGTTCGAAAAGGAGGGTCGTGGTAAGGACGCGAACCTTGAGATTGGAAGAACAGGAGATGTGTACCGTAAGAAATAGGATCACAACATCAATCGGATATGGACTACCTACATTTATTGCAACATAACACTAGCCCCTACTTTATGTGTGTAACACAACCTTCAATTGCATCATGGCCTTAGACTTGCTCAAACCTTCAAAGCATCCCTGACAGCATTGTACCCCTCAAACACATCTTTGGCTCGCTCGGGGCTTCTGATCTTGAACTGCATCGGGAATGGCAGAGGCTCCAGAATGACGTTTGAGTTCGTCGCCTGCGTGTCGAACGTTACGTCCTTGCCAGTGGAAGGGCACTTCTTGAGGCTCATGTCAAAGGCCCAGCATACGCCTGCTCCGGCGACAAACATCTCATCATCTACCAAGTTTTGGCCCAGGCATGTTCGACGACCCCATCCAAACGTATGCATGCCGACACCATCGCGGAAGTTTGGGTATCGGCTGAGAGGTTCCTGATACGTGGGAAAGCTGGGATCCAGATAGCGATCCGGGCGGTAGTGTTCTGGATCGGGATACTTTTCCGGTACGCGGTTGATGTTCCTGCAGTCGGGTCACGTCAATTATTAAGGGTTCATGGAGATCGGCGCGGGAAAACAAACCACTCGCATGCAAGGATAATTGTGCCTTTCTCAATCTTCACCCCCCGGAACTCAGAATCCTGCTCGCATTGATGGGGAACCCCTTAATAGATGTCGTTAGTTCTCAAATCCAATGTGACTCGTCGTCAGTCTGATGAATTGCTTACCAAGAGGCACTCCAGATCTCCACCGCAGGGTCTCTTTCAAACAAGCTCTCACTGTTGAAAGTTCGGCGAAGTCGTCGCGAGTAGGCATCCTGTCGCCACAGACCCTGTCAATCTCCTCTTGGCACTTCTTCAACCACTCGGGGTGAAGCGCCATGCACATCAAGAAGAACTGCATAGGCCCAGAAATAGTGACCACTCCAACAAGGCATTGGAAGCCAAGCATACAGGCTGCGAAGTCTTCAGCTTTCTCAGTCTGCTTGAGAGTCTCATTTCCACTCTTCTGCAGTTGCTCGAAGTACCGGTAGGTCCACGTGTCTGATGGCAAGTCTCCTCTCAGATATCTTGCCTTGGCAAGCCTGAATGTTTTCAACCACCATGTACGCTGGTTCTTCTCTCGGTTCACTTCGTACTTGCGCCAAGGATTGTATCGAACAAGGTCTGCGACGTGCCACAGTGGTGTCATGGTGTTGACAATGGGGCCAGAGATGGACATCCTTGTCAAGGTTTCAATGGCACTCTCGCCATAGGCCCGTCCTTGTGTGGAGTCATCCCAAGCGAGGCGGCTGATGATGCGTCCCGTCAACTCGCGAGTGTTTCCGTGAAATTTCTCTGGGTCGACAAGGAGGGTCACAAGCCACCGCTTGACTTCATTCTCGATATGACCATAAAAGTGATGCTGATGAGCAGCCGCCATAGCCGCATGGACCCATTTTCTTTGATGTTTCCAAGTGTCTGTTGATCAATTCAGCCTCAGGTCGATTGTCAAATTAATCATGGTTATTGTGTCACTCACCATGGCGGTCCATCAAAGCAGAGTATGCCGGGCCCAACTTGTGATCAATGAGAGCCCTGATCTGGGGTCTTCCGGCGAATTTGTTGCCATCTTTGATGAGGAGATCTTGAGCCATTCCCTCGTCAGAAATGATTACGAACTTCTGGCCAAGCATGCTGGTTTGGTAGATTGGCCCGAACTCGTCTGCCCATTCCTTGAGCTTGAGCCACATAGCAAATCTGGGCAAGTCATGGACCCGGCCGACGACTGGGTACTGCTTGGGACCAGGGAATCTGGCAGGAGGCTTGGATGTCTTCCCATCCGCGGGAGCTTTTGTGGACCATCCTACCAAGCGACGAAGGGAAGAGAATAGGAAACCAGGCACCACAAGGATGCCAAGATAAAATATGACGAGAGTAAAGCTCTCCATAATGAGGCTCTCAAAGTTTCCTGCTGGAGAAGCGGGTGACAGTGGATGCTCTGGGGAGCCAGAAAGAGGGAATGGGGATAGTGGAGGGGTGGCATTGCAGATAGATATACTGCTACGTGACTACCCTACCCGAGATTCCGAGAAACAGTTACTCAAACTTGCTGCATGCAGGGCTGGCAAACTTGCCGAAAGACCTTCGGGTGGGTCGACTTGGTTGAGACGATCCAAAGTCCCTTTCTGTGAAGAGACCAGGACTCAAGTGTTATCGGCATCCCCAGCTGAAAGTGCGGGAAGACAACGAATGAGAGCGTTTACGCTCTTCATCACGCCGGAGACCGCATGACGATAATTGTTACACGGAGCGATGTGTACATGAGGTCGACTCGGAACACCTTGAACGGGCATCAAAATCTTTCGACTGCCTGCTTTCGGAATAGAATCGCACGATGTTGACCCCGTGAAGTCCGAAGCAGAGCGAGCTGCGGGGCTGTAGGATAAGCATCCCTCGCATCTGTGCTTCCTTCCAGCCATGAACATCACCGCCAAGTGTTATCTTAGCTCCAGATGTTCGCACATTTCGTCACTGGTTTTCCCGATCTGGCAAATAGACGCCCTGGGAGGCGCATCGGCCACTCATGGGTAAGCAAAGATGGCAGCCTAATACTTTGCACAAATTCATCGCTGATGCAAATCAATAGGGGCGAATATGTCTCAAGACCCCATTGACAGGCTCGTTCCGATGAGAGACCTGCAGGATTTACATGCAGGGATAGGGAAGACGCCTGCGCCGCATGGCAGGGGCAGTGTTACATCGTGACTTGGTCACAGCCATTTCCGCTTAGGAGGCTAGGACCCTGGACACCATGCAGAACTGTGATACCTAAAGGTCTAGTGAAATATTCCGTCACATGCCTTTTTCTTTCACTCAGTTCACGTTCACCAACCTCAAATTCTTCTATGGCTATAATAGAGTCACTCAAACATGACGTTGAAAGTTTTGAGACAGCTCGTACGAGATTGGCTCGTTAAAATCGTCCGAGCACGAGCGAGCGGGAACGAGCCATCAGGAGCGCGGGTATGCACTATAAGGGCTTACTACGCGCACGACATCACACTGTACCTGTAATTTTGTGCCAGTGAGAATCTCAGGACGAACTTGC